TCACAAGGTTTTACTTCCTTCAATGATGGCAGGAAAAGTTATCGTCGAAGATGCTACAGTGCTTGGCGCATCCGGTACCAGGATGTGCCTAGCACTGCGATTTTGAGGAGGGGGTAATTTAATTCGTAAAATTCAAGTATTCTATTGTACCCGGCGTACATGCCCAACAGTCCGCATGTGGGGATCTCACTGTATTTATTTGTCAAAAAAATTTCAGCTGACTTGAAAAACAATTTAGCTCTATCTCTATTTTAAAAATATTCCCTCCCTTGTTCATGATTCAAGAGTCATTTTTTTAAATGTTTGAAGTTACTTTTCTTGGAAATGAGACTGCTTTCATAATTATTTTTTTTGAAATTGGCAAACGGACAAAGGATATTTTGAAAGTTGCGCGTTCATCGTAAAGTCGCATGCAAGGAATTGCATAATTTCGCCTGAGGTCATTTTTTCACGGAACGAGAAAAGCATGCTAAATTTTGAAGAACAAATTCTTGCGAAATAGCTTTTGTTTCATGATTCTACGCATGTTGGAACTGTTTGACAATGCCGTACTTTTTAACGCTAAAGAAGGACGTCGTCAAGTGTTGGAGTGAAGCGCCAAGTGTCCTTTAACGTCACTTTTTTTTTCTATCGGTCGTTAAATAGGACGGTTTTTGAAAAAAAAAAAACAATTGCGCGTCAAACGGTATATTCTCGCAAAATCGTATTGTAGAAACTGAAAACTGCGAAATTTATTGACGATGCGATTTCACGAGGTAGAAAAGCTCTGCTTATATACATGCGAAGCTTGATGTGCCAAAAAAAACTGCGAAAGATTTATTCTCGCGAAATGTTTAGTGTTGCAAATTACCAAAAACAAAAATCTCAGCACATATTTCTGATCGTGTTCAATGAAGAAAACTTTCAGTTTCACATACAGTACGCAAATAAATTAGCACATTGAAGGCATGAAAGATTAAATATTCGTTTCATGGATCAGTAAATATTATTCATAATATCAACAAATATTCAATTCAACAGTTGGTCAATTTCTGTGCGTTTTATTTCTCTATGCAGGTATGAATATAATTTATATGTTGTCCCATTTTCTCTCAGAAAAATTTTTTGAATGCTGGATTTCTTTAAAAATATCGATTTTCATGATCAACTTGAACATGTCAAGCGGATGTTTTTTTTAAACCTAAAGAATTTACGGCATTATGCTTAAATTTTTCTTGGGATTCTTGTTGAATAATTCCTGAAAAAAACCTCTAAAAAGAAACTGCAATATTTTAAATACTAATGTTATTTATAAGTCTGCGTTAAACGATTTACTGTTGATGAGATTCGCTGTGGAGTTATGTTATAATTTATGCAGTATTTGATCATTTCCTGGTCACTTTTTGAATTTTCACTCACTCAAAACAAAATGGGATTTTTCAGGAATTGTTCCCGAAATTTGAAATCCTGAAGTGAGAAAAAACTTGCCGGATTCAGGAATGCAAAATATTTAGCAAATGAGAAAATGCTTTCTTCGGATTTAAAAAAAAATCCCAAAATGGTTCGAAGATTCTGAATAAAATTTGAGAAAATATAAATTTGTGAAAATACACGAGTACGTACTGGAAATTTGCGTGTCATCCATTTTTATCAAAATAATTTTCAAGTATTCTCTCTGCTACAGCTGAGGTCTTCAGGTGTTTTTCATTCATTCCAAAATAGTTCCGTGGAATCTTAATAAAATTTGATGCCCCAACAAATTTTGAAAATACACTGTACGTGACAAGTACTGAAAAACCTTCAGAATAATACTTTGTGTGAATTACATTAAGATACTTTTTCGAGTATTTTCACTGCAAGACACCCGTTAAATTCCTGTCTTTGAGCTTTAAAAAAAATACATTTATTAATTTTTTCGTAGAATAAAATTCGGTAAACAAACGCATTTTATTCCGTATCAATCGCATTCATGCGTTGAAAAGGTGTTTAAAATCTCTGCACAGGAACTGCACGGATTATCTAGCAATAAGGGAACACGCCCAGTTTGGATATGAAAAAAATATATAAAATTAATCTTGGAATGCGTAAAAAAGCGAACCTGGGTTCCGGAATGTCATTATTGTCGGATGTACTGAAACCGGGCTTTTGTGTCCTGTTTTACATGCAGGAATAATAAAAATGTTTAAAAAAAACTTGCATGAGGGCGTGGTTCTGACACATTCACCCAAAGCCCCACTGGTTTTTGTTTATTTGTATTTGTCAAAATTTGTTAATAACTTTAAATATATTTCAGGTTAATGTGCGGAAAGATCGCGTTCCGAGATTCATATTTTATTCCAGGAAGAATGAGTGAAAATTAAAATGTAAATAAATTCCTGCTGGTTATATTTTATTTGAAGTATTATATTATCATTGAATATTAGACAAGTTGAAAATCTCAGTAGAAAATGTTGAAGAGAACCGATTCAAAAAAATTGTATGGGTTTTCACAGTTTATATTTTTCAGAGGGCAAAGTTCTTTTGAAAATTTTCAATTGTGGAAAGTTTTAAAATGTTCTTTACGAAGCTTTAGAAAAATAAAGTATATGTTTTGAATCGCCGAAATTCAGAGAAAATCGTCTGGTCAGAATCTTTCTAATTTTTAAAACACGTTTTTATTGGAAATTTCCATTCTTCAGGTATGGATTTATTTGAAATCGGAATGAAATTGTGGGGCTCTAGATTTTGTTTTGTATGAATTGCCTAGAATATTTGCTCCAGGTTTTATGCTGTCAAAAGGGTGTGGCCATTTATTGTTTTTTTTTTTTTTTTTTTTTAGGAAGAAAATCGCCCGCAATTTTATTTGCATTCTATTTTTTGCGAATTGCTCACAATTTTGTAGCTCAGTCATTTATTTTGGCATTAATTCTGCGTTTTACCTCAAAGAGTTCCAAAGAAATAAACTGGGCCAACATAATTTTTGCTGAATTTCCACCTGCGCCAAAAAATTAACACAGTAAAAAATATAAAATTGCGGAGCCTTTTTTAAGGTACATTGACTTTTTTTTCTTCAAAGATCCGCTATTTAACTACTTTAGCCTTTCTATATTTAGCTACGTATCATTTTCGCTTGATTTTCTTCGCATATTGGCGTTCAAATTTTCTTCGCATTTATAAAAAATTTTATTTAAAGGAAATACAAAACCACGGAGAACTATTGAATACCGTTTGTGTTCAAGGGATTAGTTTTCCTTTGTTCAGTGCATTTTACATAAAAATATGGTCTGGATTTTCGTGATTTTTCTGCTTCATTTTTTTTGGTCTTGAAAAACGTAGAATATTAGTTTTCTTCAACAAATTACGTGCAACTCAAATTAATATTCACTCAGTTGTTTATTTATTTCTGTCAGAGCTCTTTTGTTGAAATACAGTATATGAATTAAACATTCGGTCATTGTTTTATTTTTATTTAAAGAAAGCAAAAATAACTTCTCTGGACCCTTTTTTGAGAAAATCTCGTTGGAAAGATATTTTTGCGTTATTTAGCGCATTTATCATCATACTGCAGTGTTTCAAATTTTGGAAATTTCATTTTCTCAACTGGACAGAAATGAAGTTTCGATTCGCTTGCTCAATCGATTTTTTTTTTAAACAATTTTGCTATAGTACTTTTACTGCAATTTTTGGGGTGAACCGCAATTCGGAGGCGTTTCGAGCACGAATCTGACCCGAGTTTGCACGATTTCGGCCTCGCCTGAGGCAGTATCCGAGGTCACAAGGAATTTCTTTTTTTTTCTCAGTATTGTTTTTGTTTAGTATTTTCCCCGCATCGTTTCACTTCCGCTTGTGTGTCAAAGGTTGCGACACGTGCAAGCACAGGAAATGGAAACGAAAGCTCTTTTTTTTTTGTGCTGTTGCTTCTCTTTCCTTTTTTATTATTTTTTAAATCAGCTGAGGTTCGGGAACGGGAACAAAAATTACTTTGCCTGAGGGGACGACGTGGGTTTTGAAAGAACGGATAAATTCTTGCGCGGCTTGTGCTAATATCGCGTAGAAAATTGCGGCTTTTTTTTTTTATTACGGCTTTTCTTTTTCCTGCCCTCAGGCAGGCAAAGATAATCGCGGAAGAAGCCTAGGAAAATGTTGCGAAATTTCCCCCGAGGGGGGAAACGTGTCCCCAGCAACAATAAATGGCAGCGAGACTCGAACCGGAAAAACACACACACAAAAAAAGTTATGTCATAGATGGAATGATGACTCGGGAGAAGTTCGTTTTGGAACACTGCAAAAATCCAGTAATTTTTTTTAAAGCGATTGTTTCAACAGAAGTTGAACTAGTCGACGCAAATTCCAAACACGCAGCGTGATCTTCGTGGGAGAGTCGGAACTAATTAAGCTAGTTGCGATGGTTTGTCGCTAGATGACGCACGCATAAAACATTCCTTTTTCAAAAGAATCATTCTCAGTTCCACGAAGTCGAATGCCAGCAATAGAAATTATAACACGTTAAGGCGAACAAATTTAAATTTGAGCTGCAAAATCGAAAGAAAGTTAAAAATTACAAATATTGAGTTTCATGATTCAACAAAGGCAGCATCGAAAATGTGTGCCAAGAGTTTAAAAAATGAAAATACGGTTGTTTTTTTCATCCCATGAATCGAAATAGGAGCAAGGTTTCTTCAATACAGTATGAATGCAAGATTAATTGCTAGTCCTGATTTGAAATTTATTTGTAAAACAAAACCAGTACAGTCATTGTATGCAGGCAAATCAGGGAACTTGTGGATAGCATGTGATGTTTTATTCACAGCTGGATTGTTTTGTTCACATAACCTCTGTTTTATTCCTGCACATTGAAACTTCTTCAAGGTTCAGAAATATGCTCTGCTTTACATATGGAACACTTGAAAAATGACAATTATTCAGACCTTCCATTCAACTCTAGCATTGAAGTGTGAATGAAAACATTGAAGAATTCATTTGTGTAACATCTGTCAATTGGACAAAGAAAAAATATGTAATTTTTTAAATTTTTTTGCAGCATTTTGACAGAGAAGCCACACTTGGCAGGAACTCCCCAGGACAAGGAACAAGCAGATTGGGTCAGCTCACAATGGAAGCTTTTTGGATTGGATTCAGTCAAAACCATTCCCTACAATGTTCTCCTTTCTTATCCAAGGATGGACAAGCCAAACAAGGTAATGCAGCAAAAGCTTGTTTCAACAAATTATTGCTTACAATAAATTAATAGTCAAAATGGACCCGGCAATAGATTCACATCAGTCAACAATGAATGAATGAACAGAGCACTTTATTTGCTGCTTTTCAGCATTCACAAGGCACAACCAATACTCCTGCATCCAAACCCCCTCCCCACCCAACCCAACTCCCCCCAAAGACATTCAATCACTTCAAAGCATGAAACAAAGCACAAAAAAAAAACAAAAACAAAAGCGAACACACTCCACAAAATAAAACTGGACATCTTAGCAGTAAAAGTTTATTTAAAGCACAAGGTCTTCAGCCTGCTTCTGTATGAGTTTTAGTTGAATGAACAATTTAGAGAGAATCTTTGATGAGAAATCATATAAGGCCAAAAATTTATCTTGATTGTTTAATTACAGTCTAATATTTCCTTTTGTTACTTCTCTCAATGCTACTTAAGGAAATGTTTTTTTATTATTGCCAGGATTCATCAAACCCTGCCTTGTATACATTCTTGTAAGGGACTTTCAATCCAAAAATACCAGGCTCGGATCTCCAAATAATCAAAAGAATTTGCCTCAAATTTGCCCATATAGTGCTGCCAAAAAGATTCAGAAATGCCACCGTTCATAAAACTCTCCTTTGTGCATGGCCAAACTGTTGAGACTGAGAACCCCAATCTCAAATCAATAAATACAGGGTTCAAACAACAATTTTCACATTTTTCAATGAGTAAATTAACAGAAGATGGAATTTTGTGTAAATTAATTTGTATCCCTAATCAGATACAGTACGTGACAAAAACCAGATTTGATTATACAAATAATAAAACACATATTTGTCTCAAATGAAAGATGATCACAGTTCTACCATTGTTGAGCAGCACTTTAATTTTTTATTTTTATTTCACCAGAACTTCTGATGGATATTTCTGCTGAAATAATATTTAGTTCTCGCAGAATTTAATAAACCTTTCATTGTGCATATTTTCATGGCCAAATATCTTTGCACGCAGAAAATCTGACTCAAGAAAAGTTTCCAACGACAAAGTCAGAGAACATCATCCGGGTTTTTTTAATATTTATTTTGAATACGGTACAAAATTTATTTGATTACTTTATTGATCTCTCCTTCCTCAGATCCACGTGATAGATTCCAGTGGCTCTGAAATCTACTCAACCAAGGGCAGACAAGACCCATTGTGGGCAGAAGAAGAAAGTTCGCCGCTGGTGAGGCCCAACTTCAACGCCTACTCCCAGCCTGGGTCGCCTCAGGGTGACCTCGTCTACGCCAACTACGGTCGCAGGGAAGACTATGATAAACTCAAAGAACTGGGCATCTCCACCGAGGGCAAAATCCTGCTGGTCAAGTACGGAAAGATCTTCAGAGGCAACATCGTGAGTTATTCCAACAACAACAAAAAACCGTTTTTTAATATACAGGGTACAGAAAATAAAATCTGAATCATGTCTTTGATCGTGAAAAAATGTGCAAAAAAAACATGCCCTCAAAAAATTCAATGGACCAAAAAAATAAAATCGTTGTAGAGAATTTCGTTGCGGGTAACCCCTACATAACATGGGGAGAGGACCATAATTCGTTATAAGGAGAAAATCGTTGTATGCGAGCGTCTGCCTGCATGTACAATATTTGCAAAGGCCGAGAATTTGAATTTTTGTTCCACTTTGAGTGCGCTTAAAATGCAAATACTTCGCACAGTGATTTTTAATGTTAGATCCCGCTTCTCAAGGAGAAACTTCTCTGTTTACAACAAAATCCCCTGTATAACGAAGGATTTTTCGAGCCCCAGTGAAAATCATTGCATAGTGAATTTGCGCTTTTCAACTTATTGTTTTGCATTATAATATTATCTAAATACCAGTCGTTATTGTTCCAAATCAAATGCTCGGTAGAATAAAAGTTAAATGACAAAATGAATTTGGCAGCGTTTTCTGAAATTCCACGGGATAAAAACCTGTTTTAAAGTAAAATATTTATTACAGTATAGTTGAAAAATATTTGTTTGGTACCACCTTCATCAATTTTTGTGTTTCATGCAACTTCTTGAATTCGAAAATAAACGAAAAACGCTCAGTTTAAAAAAAAGGAAAATTAAATTGAGACGTTTATCTTATTTTTTAATCCTGGAATTCTCCATTTTGAACTTGAGATTTAATTATAAAAAATAAAAAGGCTCGAGTTGAATTCGGGCCCCACAAATCAATTGCTCTGGTTTAGTTTGCTGTCATTAATTTTTTTTTTTCAAAAGGGAAGAAGTACCACAAGTACCAAGGAATGAACAAAAGTCGTTGAACCAGTCCATGAGAAAAGACCATTAAAAATGTTTGACCAAGACAGAACTTTTTTAACCAATTAAAAACCGCTGTCTCCTCTTATTTTCCTCTAAGAATTCGGTGTCCCTTTAAGGTGTCATTTGCTGAGGAATTTGGGGCAATAGGAGTGGTGTGTTTCTCTGACCCAGCTGACCTGGCTATGCAAGGTCGGGACTTGCGCTTAAAATGCAAATACTTCGCACAGTGATTTTTAATGTTAGATCCCGCTTCTCAAGGAGAAACTTCTCTGTTTACAACAAAATCCCCTGTATAACGAAGGATTTTTCGAGCCCCAGTGAAAATCGTTGCATAGTGAATTTGCGCTTTTCAACTTATTGTTTTGCATTATAATATCATCTAAATACCAGTCGTTATTGTTCCAAATCAAATGCTCGGTAGAATAAAAGGTAAATGACAAAATGAGTTTGGCAGCGTTTTCTGAAATTCCACGGGATAAAAACCTGTTTTAAAGTAAAATATTTATTACAGTACAGTTGAAAAATATTTGTTTGGTACCACCTTCATCAATTTTTGTGTTTCATACAACTTCTTGAATTCGAAAATAAACGAAAGACGCCAAGTTTAAAAAAAAAAGGAAAATGAAATTGAGACGTTTATCTTTTTTTTTAATCCTGGAATTCTCCATTTTGATGATGAAAAGCGTTCTTCTTAGAATTTTTTTTTATTTATGAAAAAGTTTCATCATTTTGAACTTGAGATTTAATTATAAGAAATAAAAAGGCTCGAGTTGAATTCGGGCCCCAAAAATCAATTGCTCTGGTTTTGTTTGCTGTCATCAAAATTGTTTTTTTTTTTCAAAAGGGAAGAAGTACCACAAGTACCAAGGAATGAACAAAAGTCGTTGAACCAGTCGATGAGAGAAGACCATTAAAAAATGTTTGACCAAGACAGAACTTTTTTAACCAATTAAAAACCGCTGTCTCCTCTTATTTTCCTCTAAGAATTCGGTGTCCCTTTAAGGTGTCATTTGCTGAGGAATTTGGGGCAATAGGAGTGGTGTGTTTCTCTGACCCAGCTGACCTGGCTATGCAAGGTCGGGACTTTGTGTACCCATTCTCTGTTTGGATGCCAGGAATGGCAGTGGAGAGTGGCACAGTTTTCCTGGATGATGGAGACCCATTGACTCCTTTCTATCCCTCACTTGGTAACCAAATGGCTCTGAAGAAATTTAGACTTGCCTGGCTTTCAATTTTTTATGAATTTTTGGGGTAATTTTTTGTGTAAAGGGGATTTTTTTTTAGAAAGAGCACATTCAAAAAGATGGTCTGTAGTACACAGCATTTTTTAATAAATGCATAAATGATGCTGAGAAGTATAGGGCATCATTGATTTCTGATCAATCATTGATTTCTGATCAATCATTGATTTCTGATCAATCATTGATTTCTGATCAATCATTGATTTCTGATCAATCATTGATTTCTGATCAATCATTGATTTCTGATCAATCATTGATTTCTGATCAATCATTGATTTCTGATCAATCATTGATTTCTGATCAATCATTGATTTCTGATCAATCATTGATTTCTGATCAATCATTGATTTCTGATCAATCATTGATTTCTGATCGATCATTGATTCACTGTTATGCACAGGTAACAAAAGAAAGCAGCATTTTATGCTTATTACAAAGCTGTTCAGAGCAGTTGAGCTAAAAAATAAAAAAAAAATCAGAAACTTGTGGCTAATTGTGAAAACATCCATTTGTATGTTCTGAGATTTATTTTCAGATTCCTGAATGCTAAAAGCACTGTCCCAAAAAAAAAAGCTACAACTACAGCAAATTCTTGTTACAGCAAACTGTTGAGGACTTGAGAAGAAGTTTGTTCTACTGAATGATAGTTATGATATTTTCATGGTTAATGCCTGGATTTAATTTTCACATCAGACCTACCTATAATAACTTAAATCTTGCTTTTCTGGCATTCTGAGATTTTTCACTATTGTTTGAAAAACTGGGTGAAAATTCTGAGGGAACAAATAATAAGCTTCAACCATGCATTTCATCAGTTGCACAAATATCTTTATTCTGTGAGGATTATGTGAAACCCAACTTCAAAGCATGTTTTTTATTTGATTAAAGCTTCCATCCATGCCAAAAAAAACTAGTCAATCACATCTGGGATTTGAACTTTCAAACTGTGCCAACCTAAATCTATACATTTCTTCCTAAAGAATCTAGCAAACATTCCTCAAAACGTTTGTTATTTATGTGGTATTTTGCAATTTGACCATCCCACAATTTGACAGTTGAATTTGCTGGGTGGTCAACTTGCAATTTAACCTAAGCCCCACAATTTAACCCAAAGCAATGGGCAAAAACATCAAATATGATGTAGAAAACATTGCATTTGATGTTGCTTTGCAATTTGACACTAGCCCACAAATGGATTAGGGCCAAATTGCAGGGCACCACCTGTACTGGAATTTGGAAGTTTGGTATACAGTACTGTACTGATATTGTTTCAACACTTACTCAAAGTAGGCTTTTTGTCAGGACTTGAGAAAAAGTTTGTTACACTGAACAATTTGTTGTGATGGTATTTATTGCAAAAAATTTTTATTGTAGTCCCAAATGTTAAGTTCTCTGACTGATTCTCAGTTGATTATTGGTTTCAATTTGCTGCTTATTGCATTGTTTTTGAAATTTTGGGCTTATGCTTGTAGGCACAGTTCGCTGAGCAGAATGGAGCAGTTGGTGTAGTGTTGTTCAGTGACCCAAAGGACTTTGCCAAGCAGGGCAGGGAGTTGGTGTATCCAAGGACAGTGTTTATGCCAGGGATGGCTGTGCAGTCTGGTACTGTTTGGCTGGCTGATGGGGATCCCATCACCCCCTTTTATCCATCCATTGGTAAAAACAAATTTGATGTCTAACTCTCTGCTGAAATAATAATTGCAGCACAGCCTATACTAAAGCTTCAATTCACACAAAAATAGAATAGTTGAAGTGGAATTTTAGTCAGGTGAAGGTATCAGTTTCACTAGAAGTATACTCAGTTTCCCAAATGTATAAAGTGGCACATTTGAATTCAATGAATAGAGCCTAAGTAAATTTGTAGTAACATTTTTTCCAGCTGTAGTCAGAAATTCAACTAAAACTGAACTCAATGAACCTAGATTGATTGCAATTGTGGGTCAAGGCCAATAATTTTTCACAAATGTGAAAAACCTAAATTTGTGAAATTTCTCATTACCATTGCAAAAACCTGAGCATACTGTAGTTGCAGTGAATTGTTTTGCTACAACAGAAAACATCACCATAACTGTAATTGGTATTTTTTCACTCAGTTGCAATAAAAAGTTTCATTGGTTGCAGTTTTAATTCCAATAAAACATAAAGTCCAGTTGAAGTCAGCAAGGTTAGTGTGAAACCAAAACATCTTTACTGCAACTGGGAAAATTTGAGCAGAGTTTTAAATATTTTTAGCATTTATTCCCAGAAATTTTACTATCACTGTACTGCAGTTTTTTGTTGTTGAAATATTCATTGAATGCAGCTAAAAAAATTAATGAAACACTGAGACGAGACCATCCTTGCTTATATTATACAGTATATTGCTTTGTTCTGTGTTGCTTTGTATTCAAATGGATATAGATGGTAACAATGCTTTGCTTAGCTTATGTGCTGTGGGACTTTAACTTTCCATGTTTGTTTCATTTTTTGTGTAAGGTCTTGAATTTTCTTCTTAACATTTGCAGAAAGCGCATTCAGAGAAGACCAAGACAAGGTGGGACTGCCCAAGATCCCAGTGCAGCCCATTGGTTATGATGAAGCAGAGGAATTGCTCAAGTAATGATATTAAAATTTATCTTTTTAATTTTTTATCATTATTCTTACATGGAATTCTGTAGGCGGATGACAGGTCCTGATGCGCCCTCAGATTGGCAAGGAGACCTCTCAGTGACCTACAAACTAGGTCCTGGATTTTCCAACAATGAAAAGATCAAGATGGAGGTTTACACAGAAAACACAATGGCCACCACTTACAATGTTGTGGGGATCTTGAGAGGATCTGTGGAACCAGACAGATATGTAGTCCTTGGGAACCACAGGGATGCTTGGATCTTGGGCTCTGTGGATCCTTCCAGTGGAACAGCAGCCATGTTGGAACTTGCAAGAGCTTTTGGGAAACTCAAAGAAGACCAGGGATGGAGGCCAAGAAGGTCCATTGTTTTCTGCAGTTGGGGAGCAGAAGAATATGGACTTATTGGGTATATTCAAATTTCTAAACATCTCTTCTTTTGAGAATAAATTTTGAAATTTTTTTTTAGGTCTGTGGAGTGGACAGAGGAAAATGCCAAAATGTTGTCAAGTGGAGGAGTGGTTTATCTGAATGTAGACATGGCTCTTGATGGAAACTTTTCAATGCGTGCCCTGGGGGCTCCTATAGCCTACCAAAGCATATTTGATGCTGCCAAAATTGTGCCAAATCCAAATCCTGAAGAAATCAGTGCAGGGAGGTCAACAGTTTTTGACACCTGGTTGCACAACAATCCATCTGACTATGACCCCAATTTGCCAAGGTAACTGCTTTTTTATTTCTAAAAATCATTCAAACCCCCATGTGATGGAGGAGGGTTCCTGACCATCCTCTGGCAAAGTTGAGATTTTGGGGAGGGGGTGAGCAGCATTTAAGTTAAACCAATGGTCACTGATTGGGAAGGCCTAAGTCAGGAAAAATCTGGGTAGAGTCCTATTGCTTCAAGAGATCCCCAATGTTAATCCTATTTCTGGAAAGCATGAAAAAATGGCATCCAGTGAGAAATTCTTTTGTTGTTGTTGAGGCAAAACTTTTTGCAGGATTTTAAAAATATGTTTGACTTTTTCCTGACTTAGGCCTTGGTTCAAACATCAGATTTTTAAAGTTGCAGGGCTTGTGGACACACAATTTTGAAAAAAAAAATCCTGACTTTGCCACACAAAGGTTTACATTGTTTGCAAAAGATTTTTCTTTTAATGTGCTTGATTTTTCAGGGTGAGGAGTGTTGGCTCTGGGAGTGACTACAAGGGGTTCATGCACAACCTGGGGATCCCCTCAGTGGATGTCAGATACTCATATGCAGCTGTAAGTGGTAGATGTCACCCTTGGATCTTTGAAAAAAAATTTTCAAGTTGATCTAAATTTGACCTGTTGACTGAAAACGGTTTCTGTAATGACCATCCACAAGATGCCTCCACTTCTATTTTTTGAAATGCAAAAAAAAAATAAAATTGTCAGATTTTGAAGACTTGAGCATTTTTTTGCGCTGAATTTCACAGGACATAGGGTCATATCCCTTGTACCACACCTTGTATGAATCCTTCAACCTGGTGGATTTGCTGATGGACCAAGGATTTCACTACAGCAAAGCAGTGACACAAGTCTGGGGAGAATTGGCCAGGTCCTTTGCAGACTCTGCCGTCATTCCCTTCAAGGTTCAAGACTATGCAAGGTTCCTAGAGAGAGAGTTCAACTACATCAGGGAAACCTATGGAGAGCAATTGTCATCAAACGGGGTTTCCGTTGAGTACTTCCAGAGTGCTGTGTCAAATTTTTCTGCAGAAGCTGACAAACTGCAGGGGGAGATTGATGGGGTGGACTCGGATGACGTGTTTGCTGTTAGGAGCATCAATGACAGGCTCATGTGGGTGGAGAGGTCTTTCTTGGACCCTCAGGGGTTACCAGATCGTGCTGCTTTCAAGTAAGCGCATTTTTTACCACATTTTTATGAACTCACTTTCTTGTCTGTTTGTTTGTCTGGATCAAATTTTGCTCACTTCCCGACTAGCTAGCAAGCTGAAACTTTCAGGATAGCTTAGAAACAGATGACAATGCAATCTTTTGTGAAAAGAATAATTATAAGAATATTTTTTAAAAAGAATAAAATAATTATAGTAGATTAAAAAATTAATCTAAAAAACCACGTTTTTCAAGTAAGACTAAAAAGCACAAAAAAATTTAGTAGATTAAAAAATTAATCTAAAAAACCACGTTTTCAAAAAGCAAAAAATAACCTTAAACGTGGTGCGCATGGAGATTGTTGGGAAGAAGTGAAATACAAATTAAATAGATGCGCACCACGTTTAAGGTTATTTTTCGCTTTTTGAAAACATGGTTTTTTAGATTAATTTTTTAATCTACTAAATTTTTTTTTTATAACTCACTTGTTTGCTGGGCTGGAAAATTAATCCGTCAGGCTCATGGGCCAGCGATTTAATGAACTTCTCGCCGAGCAAAGTACCCGCGCAACTCAGCTCGTAGAAGGGCTTCAGTCGAACCCCAAAGGGTTCTCTGGTTCGATCCAAGAACCCCTTCACCGTTGCCGCATTCCGAGGGTTGATTAATTCGTGTTCAATGCATCTGAGGCGGTCAGGAAACGGTAATTTTCCCACGTTGTTCCCCTCGAAGATTATTATATCGTACACCAGATATCGCGGAATCTTCTGGTTTTCAACCACATCTATCACCAATTCCTGCAGGGGAATAAACCCAATCGAGTCAGTATCATATAGTCGGTCAATAATTTTCCATACGAACAAGAACACTAATATTTTTTTAGAGACATGCACACATCCCCAATTTTCTTGCTCAAATCGCACTCGAGCGAGGAGACGCCATCAATATCAAGACTTAGTTAGATGACTTTGTTAACTTCACAAACTTGTTAAATTTGAAAGAGGGATTAGCTTCAGAATATCGCAAAAAACGAATGAACCTATTCCATTCAATTGAAAAGTAACAAATGAATGCTTTTTTTTAAAGGAGAAATTGACCTCGTAAACAATATTAAGAGTCACTAAAAAAACGTATACATAAGATAATTTGCCAAACGCTTTCTTAAATTCCAAATTCGACGTTTCATATTTTTGCCTTCAGTTTTAATCACGTTTTAAACTTATTTCGAGCAGAAGAAATGTATATAATGCATTTACATTCCTTTCAATAAGGTCACATTATTGAACCACCTCATTCTCAAGCATTTTCATGCGTTCCCAAGAAATCATAGATTCTAAGACGCATCACGAGTTTCCGTGAGCCAAAATCGAGAAAAATCGCGTGAAATTCGAATCAAGTACCCCTTATTGTCAGAAGAAAAAACCGATTTAAAAAAAAGAAAGAAAATTCTTCTTACACCGTCGACAAGCGTGTCTCGAACGTCTCCTTTCATGTCTTTCCGTTTCGGAAATCGCAGCCGAGGCACTTTAAAGATACGGTTGTCGCGATCCAGCATGAAAATCTGATCACGTCCATCAATCAGCATCATGTATCGAGTTCCGTCTGCTTTCCACGACACCATATACGGCATCGTGGACAAATTATTGACATTTTCCACATCCATGGAAATCGGCTGGCTGCCCGGGAAACCGGATCTGCGAAGCATCAAAAAAGGACGGTTACAGAATAACAATTATAAATTAAGTCACACCTCAATTTAACACATTTTGTGGCACTAAATCAAGGGCATTGTAGGCAAGAAAGAATTCATTAAGAATTTCTATGGTAAAAATTGAGCTTGTTCAAATATTAGGTAGGCCACTCAGTCTGTTTCATTGAAAGCCACAAGAAAAAATTGTAAGCTTAAATGAACTGTTTTAATGCGGTATTCCATTTCAATTTATTAAATAAACCAGAGCTGTTTTGTTTGACTTTTATATCAGGTGCCATCATGCAGGAATCTCCCACTTTATTCATAAATTTTTTAAATAAAAGAATGTGACATGCAAACACAAACGAAAAATATTACTTGAAAATGTAAATTCTAAAAAGAAGGTTTGAAACTATGAGTTTTTTTCTTAAGGGTGGGCATGTGATTCTCAGTAAAAACCCAAGAATATCCCTAGAAAATGCACAGACCCCTTTGATTCTGGCCCATTTTCAATCCATGATGAGGTTTTTTTGTGACACAAAGTGTGCTGGCACTGAATGGAGTTTCTCTTAAGAACAAAAATAGAACAGATATATTCCAGAGAAAATGTGTGGTACCATGCGCCAGAAGCAATAGATTGAGGGTTGATTGTGTAATCAGAATACAGCACTGTACAGTATATACATTCGAAGTGGACACATTCTCTCCACAATGAATTTCAAGAGACCAGAAAAATATTGTTGTAGAAAGCATTTTGTTGTAGAGAGCCCTTATAACAAGGGAAGAGAACCCTACCAGACCAAAAAAAATTCGTAGGGTTGGTTCATGAGTTTTGAGATTTTTTTGAAATAGATCCAACGGAGTTTCAACAACAACAAAAATTGTTTACAATTTACTTGCATTATTTGGCAACATCTGAGAGATGTTCAACATACTCTCTGCCAATTTCAATGCATTTTTCACGCGATAAATCCAACAATCAAAACTGAGCCAAAAAGTGACTTCTGAAATTGTTGGACCTCCGTTGGATCTATTTCAAAAAGTCACAAACTCATGAACTCGTATATACAGCATAAATAATTCCGCTCACTTCTTCCATCCACAAAGTTCTTGAACTCTGCGCTGAATTTGAGTGACTGTTCGCTGCACAGTTAACAGCACGACATCCTCAACACCCTCCATGAATTGCGAACATTGACCAGGTCCCTTGTCTGATGAAGGATCGTGAGATTGTCCATTGAAACTCGAAGGTGCCACGTTGACAATATTGTCGTCGTAACACCATTCTGGTCTTACAGGAGCACGGGGAACTTCATCATCCGGATCTCCATACCGATGATGGAGTTCATCCAAGTAGTCCTACGTTTCAGCAATCGAAAGATATAGGAATACATTTACCCAGTAATTTTGCTTACAACATCGTTTCACATACATGGAACTTCATCATCCGGATCTCCATACCGATGATGGAGTTCATCCAAGTAGTCCTACGTTTCAGCAATCGAAAGATATAGGAATACATTTACCCAGTAATTTTGCTTACAACATCGTTTCACATACACTTGAAAAAAAATGGTCGCTGCATTTCCTTGCGCAATATTACTTTGAATATGCTGACGCTGCATCAATAATCTGCCATCTAACTCACCACGATTAACGTCGAACTAACATAACCTAACGATAACTAACACAATCGACGCCTGGCTAACGTAATCTTATACAGTACACTTACAGATGGAACTTAATATCTCAAACCTCCCCAAGTCACAGTTTTTCTTACATCCCTGCCTAATTTCCTAGATAACAATAGATTACATAGTAGACTTTTCCTAGTTTGAAGACTCCCAAGACCTCTCAAATTCAAATTTTCTGGTGGCCTCAAGCCAATATTTTGTCGGCTCGAGAGAGAAAATAGCATTAAAAATGTAACTCCATGTCCTCCCAGAAGGAGAACAGTGAAATAATCGAGCAAATGAAACACTGCCTCCAAGTTTGGCATCCTGTCAACTCATTAAGAAGCAGTTCAAGGCCCAGAATATCACAAATTTCATCTTCCGGTAATTCTTATCCTAAACTTATTCACAAATAAGCGGGGGAAATTGTGTTAATTTTCGAGGCGCAAGAAATAAGAGATCCGCCTAAAAATCAATCACGTCGTACACTAGATTTAATAAGACACACACGGAAGAAATACGAATAAGATGAGTAAGAAAAATGACAGAAAAAACAATCTGTGTCTCACTTGCTTGTAGATTCCAGGCGGCCTACACCGAGAGAATTCGTCCAATGCGCGATCCAGAGACCAGTCTTCCTTTTCAACTAAATACGAAACAACGAGGAAGCCTGTTCGATTGAAGCCGTGGGTGCAATGGACCCCGACAACGCTGAGAGGATTCATAGAAATGAACTGAGAACAGATCCCGAGAAAACTGTTCGTTTGTTCAAGAGTCGGAGTTTCTTCGTGTCCACGACACTGGAGCTTGACGTATCGCAAATCCTCCTCCAGGGTTTTCAGTCTTGCCGAATCGTAGAATCTACTGGTGAACGTCAGATCCATCCAGAGACCCACTTTTTTCTGCGAAACGGAGAAACCGTTGCTCGTGAAGTCTCACAAAGATATAATTAACTGGGTGAAACTAACCCCGGCGTTCTTCATGGACTTCAAGAGCATATCCGGGCTAAAGCGACAATCCAGAGGAACTTGGGGATTGAATTTGGCATCAAGGGGGGTCTTGAATGCGAGAAACTTCCCGCCGATGAATCCGTCGGATTTCCGCGGACATCGCAACCAACGCATCGGAAGCGCCCCCGGATCACCACCACTCATTTTCAATCTGTAAGGTTAATTAACCCATCGATGCACGTACGATGGAAGGAAACGCCGAATACATCTGCAGGACGAATTAGTATATAATAGAAATCATCAATGGAGCGTTTCGAGAACACAATTTATGCACAAAGCAGCGTAGTGAAGACTCGACATTCACTTCAACACATCTACATCGTAAGAAATATTCAATTCATCCATGATGCGAGAATAAAACGTCAACTGAGATTCCGTGATCACAGATTTGCTTCATAATTTATTCCATTGTAATTTATTCTCGACATTCACTTCAACACATCTACATAGTAAGAAATATTCAATTCATCCATGATGCGAGAATAAAACGTCAACTGAGATTCCGTGATCACAGATTTGCTTCATAATTTATTCCATTGTAATTTATTCCGCGTTAGGCCTTTGGAAAGATATAGTTCAATGCATATTAAATGCACCAGCGCTGGTGCGCCGAGCACCTTTCGTGTACAAGTGCCATAGAAAGAGTGTACAGTAGAACAAAAACTACATCAAAGAGTAATCTTTTGGATGATTTCAATCCATGAGGACCGCTAACTAAAACAAATGCATTTGCTATTCCTTACCTACTAGAGCTGAAAATATTGAAATACTGTACTTCATTAGACCAGCGCTTGCAGTTTCAAAGGTTACAAGCACCACTATGGTGAAACATTCTTCGAGAACTTGTCTTCTTTTCCCGGTCAACTCATACCTCAGAAGAAACCCCCACGTTAAGGAATATTTCTCAGTGAATCACTCGGACGAGTCGCGGAAAATCCAATGCTATCACTCTTCACGAAGAACGCATGAGTCTTTCACCTTTCACAAGCACTCGGAGAATGAAGGAAGAACCTGAAACGAGTGGTTGTAGAAGGTGGGCTGGAACCTACAATCGGTTGGACAGGACATAACAATGATTCCTGAACTAGGCTAGATGTCGCTCGTATCGTATTACACAAGACGATACCTATATAGAAAATTTGCGAGAAATTGCAACTGGCCAGAATAATTAGGAACAGGAAGGGGGAAATTTGGTCAGAACCTATGGTTTTGTAGGTGCATTTATCCGTCAAAAATTTATGGAGTACCTAAACCAGAACATATGGTAAGGATCATGCTTAATTGTGGTGGAACTAATCCAGTAGGAGCGAGATTTCCTATATGTGCGTACTGATCCAGCGCGATTTTATGAAGTACAGTACAGTACAGTATTTTCTTTGCACAGGACGATGAAGTGAACGTTCTGTTTTACTTTTAACACATCGTTGCTTTCTCAGAAATTTTTTGAGCATTTGCAACACTAAAACTTCTCACCAACAAAAATCGAACCATACGCGGAACCTTCTTACCAAACACAAGACTTTCGAAGAATATTGGGAATATTCAACACAAACGGAAGATCCAAAATGAAAGAAAAAATCCATAATATGTATTTACAATAGTAGCCCGGAATGGTTTCGAACAATGCACTTCCAGAAATCCTGTGATATACAATAAGCCCAAAAAAAAATCAAACCGGAAACCCCCAGCTTGTTCGCACGGGACGTCCTCAAAAAAGAAAAAAAAATATTTCAAGCTGTGGTTCTATAATACAATGACGTCGCGATTAAATCACAGCTCAAAACTCAGCAGTTGCTTCTGACGGCGCAAACCAATAAGAAAGAAAAGCGCTCGTGTTGAGAAAAAGGGATTCATCGTCCAACAACCCCCGTGGGAGCAATGGTGGGTTGCGCAGGTGTGAAGGCGGCGAGTGAGGCATTCGGGGTAGGAGCTGGGGTCGGTGGCGGCGGAGGAACAGGGCCGCCTCCAACGCAAGACTGCCATGCCAAACCTCCGCAAGACATTGAGATGATGAGGTACAGAACAAACTGGAAAAGAAAAAATGCGATTAAATGAATCCGCAAATACAGTATACTTCAAGATGTAAAAATAGAAATCGTACACAATCAGGTTATTTTATACTGCACAAGATATTTCAAGCAAAATTTGATGCTGCTAACACCACGCACCGAAACTTTTCAGCCTAAATTTTGATAAAATCTCATCGCCTGGTCAGACACGTACCTCATTTTCAGTAACTGAACTACGGCAGCATCGCAATAATAAGATACCCCGGAATTTTGACATAAATTCAACCTGAAGTCAATTAATTTCAAATTTTTTAAATATAAAACGTTTCCTGTTAGAACTGGTACATAATTTCAGCATCAATGATGATGTACACCTAAATCTCTAGAATATTTTGAAAATTTCATCTCGCCTATGATGAATAGCCTCCTCTCCCCCCCCCCTCAATTTTGCCAACTTTTTCTACGATCTGCAAATCTAGCTTTGTACAGGCGTCTCATCCATCTAAAATCCCTTGGGACCCAAGAAAGTTAAACCAAGTTTAACCTAAAAAATCGTATAGATTGAGGTGAATCCTACATGAAAAGAAGAAGGAAACCCGAAGTGAAGAAGTTCATATTTTTTTCACCTCAACGAAAATGTACTCACGAAACTAAAATTCCGATCCCCCCTTGACATAATGTGAAACCATGCCTGCAAGACATCAAAGAAAACACTCACAATAACAAGGAGAGTGATGAAGATGGTGATTTTCATGTTTTTCCACCACATGGCCTGACGGAGATTCCGGCTCGTCGTTCGAAAGGCAACAGACTGCCAAAATAAATCATCACGACGTAATTGAACAGCGATAATTCAACCATCGGCATAGAAAATACGGTAATGATATTTTCAAAGGAAATACAAAATATTATCTTAAGTTAGTTTCAAGGTCACACGAAAATAATCTAGACCTTTCATCTTCATGAAAAAGACCAAGAAGTTGAAGAATTTCTGAACAATCATATCTAAATTTGTGGGAGGTGGGATTTCGTTCGTTCAAACCACGTTTTCCTGAAAGTTCTCTCTAAAACCAGTAATTATACAGCTTCGATATCATAGTTTAAAATATTGTAACCTTTAAAATTCCAAAGCAAAAATAAGTAGAAAATCAATCACAATTCTCGAAATTTGTCAAGGAGTTTTATCTTTTCATTGTCCTCGTCAGTTGTTGAACAACATTTACCGTAGAATACATTAAATTTTATGAAGGTTATAGCTCAAATATGTAAGAATAAACATCAGTATTGTAAGATAAAATCAGCTTTTTTTTCTATCTCGATCCAAACCTACGAGTTCTAAGAATATAAACTGAGACCAAGCCTCACCGAAGAAGAAAGATCCTCAGCTTTGTTTACAAGCAACTCCAACCGTTCTCCCCTCTGAGCGAGACTATCTGCAAAAAAAGGGGGAAAAAAACGGATTAGTGCCAGAAATTCTCAGAAAACCCACAGGAATACCAACCGATGTTCTGAACCATTATGTCCTTCAGCTCATCTAATTCGCCTTGCACTTTCGAAATCGTGTCCACGTCTTTTGAATCAGAAAAATGTTTCTGACAGATGAAAAAAAATATCAACCAAAATTCCACGATTTTTCTCAACAAAAAAAAGACAATGACATACCATTTCGTTCGCCAAAACCCGAGAAAACTCAGAATTCATCGCAAAGGGCAACGCAGTGAGCGCCCGAGGACCATATGTAACTTGGAACCGCTTCTTGATCTCACCAAGGAACAGGAAAGCACGTGAGCGCTCAAAATCCTAATGAAACGCATATGGACTTGAAAGTTCAGAAAATAAGCAAGTATCAATCAACCCTCACGTCGTCGGTGATACAAAGGTAAACGATGCCATCTTCTGCAACGTAGTGAATGAGGAAGTTGCCATGAGAGTATGTGAGCTTGGAGTCGTCTGGTGGGATGCGCGGCAAAATCTGATCGATCACTTCCTGAAAATTACCGACGCACGATGCGTACTTGGCGAGTACGTACGAACCCCGCGCCACAACCGAAAACAGAATCGGCATTTTGATGCTCCGCGTCAGGATTGGAGCCCACCTGGCCCTAGAACCGAAATTCACTGTGAAGTGACTTGCACCAACGCTAGCGAATGAGACCGATGAAATCATTCGCAATGTCGTGTTAGTGTATGTCAGGCTCGAGGGAATTCCCTTAGTTCCGACTTCTGCGCTACTTGGGATGAGAATACTGCGGCGTCGTTAGTAATCACGTAGGGGATAAATGCAATCCTTCTACTTCCTACAAGAAAAATAACCCGTTTCTCCGAACACCTGATATGAGTCACTTCGTCGTCGACGAAAAAAACGCTCTTTGTTTACGAACTTAATCACAGCATCCGCGTGATTGCACTCCACGCGTGCCCTCGCGATACTTTCGAGACCCACGTTCTGCGTCGAGTGAAAGTGTGAGTGGCCATATTGCTCAATTAAGAGACTACATTTTGGTCAAAGAGAGAAATCAGCATGAAAAGTTTTCAGTGAAATCTGAAGAGCTTGTGCTAAGGAGAAGTGATCTGGATGAGGCTGTGTTGGAATTATAAAATAAATATGTTTGAATTGTTCTTATTTAGTGCTTAGTCGGCTTACTCTACCTGGCGTACGCCCGAATTATCTGGACTCTCACCATCACCCCATCGATTGTTTTTGAAGACAATCCTTCATAGTATCAACTGTAATTTTACGTTCGGTGGCTGAATGCGATACAATAGTGCATAATTCGAGATATTTTAGTCCGAATTGAACGCCTTTTTTCCGAGATGGATCCGGAACAAATGACTGAGGTGAGTGTTATACTGTATTAAGAAGATTGGAATTCGAATGAAAGACTGTTGCGTATGCTGTTCGCCAAATTTTCCATGATTCAGACTGTTTCGTTACTCCGGAAATCTTTCGACGAAGGGCTTACCATACCATTGCAATTTCGTCGTGATCAGTTGAAAGCGTTGGAGAAATGCTTGAGGGAAAACGAACGGGCATTTGTTGAAGCTCTGGGAAAGGACCTCCGCAAAGTAAGTTTGATGTACAATATTATTTCTTCGATCATAATGTTACACCAAGAGAAGTACCGCTGATGCATTTTTTATTGTTATTCGGGGTAACGCTTCTTGTTCTCTTGGCTATCTTATGATTTTTCGAATCCCTTAGAAAATGTATTTTTTATGTTTTGTGTGTGAACATAATGCTCTTTCGTATCGATTTGTGGAAATTGTATTATGTACAGAGGCAATTTTTTATCGAAATTTTCCATGTCTTTAGATGCACGAAAAGATGTGTCAGAAAAGTTTAGAAAGAAATGAATTAGCGATCAAAATGGATACATTATTTTATGCGTGTTTTCTGTGTGGATGATTTTCGCGGCCCATAGTAATTACTGTTTTATCTTAATAGAATCCTGGCGAAGCAAAGCTGTCGGAAGTTGACTTATGTGTGAACGCAATCAAAACGGCTATGCTGGAATTGAATTCATGGACGTCACCTACACACGTTTCAAAGAGCATGCTCACATTATTCGACACCTTGTATCATTACCCTCAACCCTACGGCCTCGTTTTGATCATCGGTCCTTGGAATTTTCCTATTTCGCTGAGTCTGCTTCCGCTGATTGGCGCAATCGCAGCTGGAAATTGTGTGATTGTGAAACCATCCGAAGTATCTCCGGCTACATCGGAAGCACTGACAAAATATTTGGCATCTTATCTGGACGAAGTAATTCGGGATTGATATTGATTATTTAGTGAGCCTTCGTGTCTTAATTTCTTTTCACTCGCAGCGGTGTTTCCGTGTTATACCAGGCGGTGTTCCGGAAACAACCTCGCTGCTAAATTTGAAATTTGACTACATCTTCTTCACTGGAGCTGCTAAAATTGGACGTATTGTTTCCGCCGCGGCGTCGAAACATTTAACCCCAACAACGCTGGAACTTGGAGGCAAAAGGTGAGTTTGATGGGACAGTATTATTGTAGCAGATGATTTATTCGTTTTGTTGAATAAAGTCAGCGGGTGATTTCCTGCCATCGTTTGACTTGGAACATTTTTTAAATCTAGATCGAGCTTAATAAATGAGAGGATGCTTCAATTGAGGGTTTCTCCTGACAAAATAAACCTTAAAAATTAAATTGACAGAACGTGCATTGGTCTGAATAGCTGACGATAATAAAAATCAAATTTACGATTCAAGGTGATGAGATCAAATTTTCGATTCGGTATTCATAAAATTGCTGCAGTATTTTATTGTTGAATATTTTTTCTGATCGATGTCATGCGTACGTTTTTCCATGTTTTTACAGTCCAGTGTACCTCGATGACAGTGTGAATATGGATATTGCTGCAAGAAGAATTTGCTGGGGAAAATTCACAAATGCCGGCCAAATTTGCATCGCGCCCGATTACGTGCTGTGTTCTAGAAAAACGTCCAAAATTTTTATCGAAGCTGTCCGCAAAGTCATCAGGGAATTCTATGGAGAAGATCCGAAGGCTTCGGAGAATTTCGGGCGGATAATTAACGTGCATCACCACAGGTGCAGTTTTTTTTTCGCTGTGGAATCAGGTGCTAGAATGTGTGTCTGAACGAAAAGTGTTTCTATGTTAAGGCGATTGGTGAAACTTCTCTCTGCCGGAAACGGGAAAACTGTGATTGGAGGTCAATCGGACGAATCGGATTTGTTCATTGCACCTACGGTAGTGACGAAAGTTGATCCTTCGTCGGCGTTGATGCAAGAAGAATTATTTGGCCCAATCATGCCCATTGTTTACGTGGACTCGGCCAGAGCTGCTGTGGATTTCATAAATGAGAAGTGAGTTCAGCAATTTTCCTTCAGTGATCTTTTTCTTTTTTGTGTTATATCCAAAATGTCGCGTCGCTGTGCAGTGGGACATTTTGAATCTTGTTGATGAAAAATTTACCTGGCCCGTTGCAGTTTGTGTTGACGAATACAGTTGAACCTCTTCGAGTCGAACATCAATGGACCAGCGAAAAAATTCGAGTTAAAGAGACGAGCATTTTTTAATTTTTGGATGAAAAATAAAAATCAAAGTAAATTGTAATGGGTGATATTCTGGGCCTTTATTTGCTTTTCAATGAGTTGACAGGATGCTGAATTTTAGAGCAAGAGTTTATTTGCCCAACTAGTCTTCACTTCCTTTCCAAACGCATCCAAGTTAAATTTTTTATTGCTTTTCTGTTTCTCGTGTTGATGAAATAATAGCTGAAAGGCATCCGGAAAATTAGAGTTACGGAGTATTGAGGGGGAATATTATTGAGTTGGAGCTGTTTTTTCATGGATTGTTTTTTAGAGGAATTTGTGCAGGGACTTGAAAATCATTTGAAATCGGGAGGTGTTTGACTTACAGAGGTTCGATTTATCGAGGTTCAACTGTTGGATGGGAAATGGGAAAATCGCTTCAAATGTTGTACAGTACAGCATTTTTTTCAAATATTTTTCGTTCCGTTTGCATGTTGTATTATAATCGATTTTTTGATATTTTGTCCGTCGCTTTGAATGAATCCCCCTGATGGAAGTTTTTCCTTTTCCATGTGTATCTAAAGTCCCATCAGATCCCGACCCTTGGCCTTGTACGTATTCTCCAGCAAAAAGTCTGTGCATAAGTTGTTCCGCGAGAAAACTTTCTCCGGCGCCCTGTCCATCAATGACACAGCGCTACACTTCGCGGGTAAGTCCTGAAAAAAATACAGCATTGATAAAAAAACCGCTTTTAGTTTGAACTTGAAAGTTGTAACTGCTCACATTCTCACTTTTTTTTTCTCCTCAGTTGAAGAGTTACCATTCGGAGGCGTTGGGGAGAGTGGAATGGGAGCTTATCGTGGGAAATTCACGTTTGACACGTTCAGCCACCGAAGAGCTGTGCTTCATAAGAATTTCAACTTTTTCGGGGAAAAGGCGGGGAGGTAAGAACATCTTCATACAAGAGAAATCTCGTTTCAACGAAGTCATTTGGACCAAGAAATAAAAAAGGCTTTGTTATGAAGGAATTAAAATACTAAGGACACTGATCCAATTTGTTGATTCCTTGTGAGAAAAAATTCGTTACGAGATTTTTTGTGTGACAAATGATTCTGCTTTTTTTTTTATTTGACCAGTTTCTTGCGATGTAACAGATTTTTAGAACTAGAATTTCCTGGTTGAACAACTGCCAAGTATATCGTTTGGATTAAGCGCATAGAGAAAAGAAATGTGAAATTGTTCACTCAATTTAATAAAATATTTTTTCAAATTTTGTAAGATTTTTGCTTGTGCCAAGCCTTTTGAAAAGTTGTCGCGCAGAAGCATCCTTTATTCAGTTTTCGAGTAAAATGTGGTACTATATATTAAAATTTTAATAACCACATCGTAAAACCTCAATGAAACAATTCTTTCACCCCAATGTATCATTAAAAGATTTATTGTGTCCCTCATGATGCCAGTGCAAAAAAACGAGGAAGCAGCATTTTCAGTGTTGCTTCGTTTAATGGATAATATATTAAACGTATAATTTGCCTTTAATTAGTTACTCTAAAAAAATAATCCCGCGTCGCGGTCTCTTCAATTCAGTCCAACCCCCGTCCCACTCGAAGAATGTCAAGCATGAATCGTGTTTGGGATATTAAATCGTTTCACGTTTTCTCTTCCCGCAGTTTGCGATATCCTCCAATGACGGATTTGAAGGTCGGGGCGACAGCGACGCTTCTCAAGAAACGACGAGGCATTCCTTTGCCCACGGCGAGTTCGTTGTTAGCTTTCGCCGCCGGCGTCGGTGTGGTTTTTCTAGTCCAGGCGTTAACATCTGTAAGTTAAAAGGAGTCTTCGGTACAACAACGAAAAAAAAAAAAACGAAAAAAAAAAAAAAATCTGGGCATCCTAACGTGGAGAAAGCAAATATCGGTATTTTACGCTGCTATGTACATAGGCGAATCGGTTCTGGGCATTTTGTTTTTTTTCTCGATTTTTTTGGTTTTTCGTGGTGTTCAGGAATATCTCAGAGGGCTTATTTTCTCGCGTGACAAATTATCAGGGGGACCCAATGAAAGAATATCGCTGCATGAGGAACTGTACAGCGACAAGGAAAGATTTTTGGTCGGCAAAAAAAATATTGTTTCGAGAGCGATTTCATTGTTACAACCATACCTAGTCAATTTCACATCGGGGATGTGCCATATTCACGTTTGTCACTTTGCAAACAACCATTGTTGAACTTCACGGAATCAGTGACAAAAATGTTGAAATAGTGTTCATAAAAAAAATCTTCTTTCGAAGAAGACGGTAATTCAGAATCACTTCAGGGCGCATAACTCCGAAACTAGTCCAGTGAAACTTCCTTGTGAAGTACAGTTGAGTGATTCTCGATGCGTTTTCGCTGAAAAATTGGCGCCAAACGGGAAAATTTCGTACTAGTCTAGTGTTTGGATTGATCAGAGTACAATGTGCAAACGAAGCTACTTGAATCTATTTGACTTTACTGGTAACCAAACGGGGGAAAAAAAAAACCCATGGAGGAAACCTCGTAGTTCGACGATTACTGGGAAAAATTCCGTTTAGGACCAGTTCCATTTGTGTTTTTTCTAGATTTCCCGTAACTCAAATGCGAGGAAATGCTTGATTTTTTGGATATTCGTTGAAATCTCCAAGTCCGCGATTTTACTGCGTTTCACTGGTTTTCAATTCGGGTTGTTTTAAATTGTTTTAATTGATCACGGTCGAGATCGAGAATGACCTCTTCATGCTGATATTCACAGTCTTCGCTGAAATCTAACCCGTGGATATTCGCAAAATGTTCGGAAGTTTTGCATTGTAAATTAAATTTATCCGAGTTATGCTTCAGTTAATCAATTAACCGTTTCTAATCTTTTGAGTTGCTGGTAATATATATTTTTTTTTATAATCATAGATGTTCAATTTGCAAACAGTCGTGAGAAATTCCTGGAGACGTTTCCCCTGAAAACATGATTGATTTCCGTAATCTGCATTCTTGGACATCTCATAAGATTGAAAATTATATAATGGGATTAAGCCTCAAACTCGTGTTGGTGAAATCCTTGATTCCCGTCCATTTATAACGATTGATCAAATTTTTCGTCCCGATAAAAATTGTGCGGCTTTTTCCAATGTAAATTTCCGAAGTGATGAGGATTTTTCATTTTCATTCCAACGAAGTTTGAGCTGATTTTGAAGCATTGATGTGAATTTCAAGGGATCAAAGAAGGGCTTCGGAATCCGAGGATTGACGATCAACTGGGGAATCCCAGTGCTTGGAGGAAAAATGTCTGTCCGACTCGGATCCTCGTTCAAGTAAGGAAAATCCATACCGTGTTTTGTGATAAAACTGTCGTTCGATTCCGTATATTGTTGTGCCACTTTTTTGTTGTTGTCTTGAGATTGTTGAAATCAGTGACTCGCGTTTTCTGCCACATTTTTTTTAATCGTGGGGTTATCCGTATTAACAAGTATTTTTCGCAGCAATTCGGGTTGACTTTTTGTTCGTTGGGTTTCTATCGTGCATCACAATGTGAAAATTTTCAAGCAGCGTCTGAAATGCACTGGATTTATCTCATTTTTTTTCAAGTCATTCATTTTTGCTGTTGGTTGTGTGAGAATCTAATTTTGTCAATTTGCGAACGTTAGATCCGCTGCGAATATGGGTGAGATGTACTAGTGTTCACGGTACGTTAATGTATTCATCAAATCTCTTGAAAATGGACAATGTCGACTACGAAGCGGTGAGCTTAGACGTGGAAATTTCTTTAAAAAAAAAAGAAATTGCGTTCCACTGAAATTGAATTATTTATGTTGTTTTTGAAGGTGGTTGAAGAGTTGAGGGGCAACTTCAGATCTGGAATTACTCGTTCTGCCGCGTACAGGAAGCTTCAATTGAAAGCTTTAGGGAAATGCTTGGAGGAGAATGAGGAAGAATTTTGTGAAGCCTTGGCTGCTGATCTGAAGAAGGTATCGTGGTGGAAAAATTCTAATTTTGTTTCTCCTCAAGGTTTTTTTTTTAATAATCATTTTCTCACATTTTTTCAATGCCCTTTTCTGGTCTTCGTTTTACAAGCCCATGTTCTTGGGAGAATTTATTAATTGCAAAGTACAGTACGATATTTCGAAGTGTTTTCGTTCATGTGAAGAAATCCCTCTTTGCCGTCTATCGATTTTTTATATTATTCTCGATGTAATTTCTTCCGGTTTTCCCCGGTTATCAGATTTTCCTTGAGTTTTTTATTAATAATTTGTCTCGAATTTCTGTTGAAATCTATTTTTCTGGTCCTCGCTTTTTAAGGAAAATTTCTTTAGAGAATTTAAAGGATATAATCGACTGCGAACCACAATTGAAAGTTATCTTGTTCAGATGAAGTTTCGACTCCCGATAATTCTTGATATTTTTGATCTTATTTGTTTTTGTTTTCTCCCGTTATTGCTTTTATCAGAAGAATTTGCTCGAGGCTTTTATTGAGAAATTGTCTCTTCTCTTTTTTGAATTCTCTCTTTCTGGTCCTCGTTTTTGCAAGGAGAGGATTGTGAGGATGTAATTGATTGCAAACCGCAAAAATTCGAAGTTGTTCTGTTCAAGTGAAGAAATATCGCAGAAAGAAATCCCTGGTTGCCACTTCTTGATATTCTCGAAATATTTTTTTTTTCTGATTTCCCCCTTAAAATCGCTTTGATCAAAATTTCCTCGACGTTTATATTAGTCATATTTCTCTCATTTCTGGTGAAATCTCTCCTTTTGGTCCCAGTTTTGCGAGGAGTTGTTTCTGAGAAAATTTAGCGAATTCAATTTGTTGCGAACAACAATTGGAAGTTAATTTGTTTAAATGAAGAAATGTTGAGAGAATCACTTTCACCATCCGATTTTTTATATCAATTGATTTTCTGATATTTATATTGTCGATCTAAATGTTTCATTTATTTTTCTAGAATCCTTCGGAAACCAGAATTACAGAAGTGGAATTCGGGAAGAATGCAATTCGCACTGCCTTGTTTGAATTGGACTCTTGGATGAAGCCAGTTTACACAAAGAAGAATCTGCTTACTTTAATGGACACAGTGTATCATTATCCTCAGCCCTACGGAGTTGCTTTGATTATTGCCCCTTGGAACTTCCCTCTGAACCTGTCTGTTATTCCGCTGGTTGGGGCAATTGCTGCTGGAAATTGCGCAGTTGTGAAGCCTTCCGAAATTGCATCGAATACTGCTGCGGTTTTGGCGAAAATACTTCCTAAGTATCTTGATGAGGCGAGTTGACGATTTGCAGTTCTTCAAAATTTTTTGTGGGTGTTTCGTTTTTAAATTATGGCAGTTCGTCGTTGATCTTGTTTTTTTACCCGGTTTTTCATAGGAAATTGTTGAAAACTTCTTGTTTCTGAACCTTAAGAATATTAACATGAACATTTGCTGATTTTACGAAAAATTTGAGATGAATTTCTCACTGTAAGCTGTGATTTTGTGTCTCACAAGTTCTTGGAATAAAAATTGAGAAAGCCTATGAAAAAAAGAAAAAAATTAAACTATAAAATTAAATAATTATTCAATTAATATATATATATTATATTATTAATATTTTATTAATTTTCACTAAATTAATTATGAAAAAAGCTAAAAAAAATTCTTTTGGCACAATGAAAAATAAATTCTATTCTGCTGGATATATTTTGCGAAAAAAATGTAGCGTGAATCACTCTCGCATCTGTTGCAAAATTTTCCCGCAAATACGCCATCTTTTCGTGTGCCAAAGACATTTTTTTGTGCACGAAAGTTTTATTCCAACTCAAGTATACGCTGTCTCAATTTTTATTCTGAGAAGTTTCGATGAGCCCCTCGTACTTTTTTTTATGAACGACTGCTTGCGTATTGTGTTGAACGTATTTCGAGCTTTATCTGTCGGATTTAGTTTGCAGCTTATTGCAATTATTCGATAAGCTTTATTTCAATTTATGTTTTCCCTTCGTTGTGCTTCAGAGATGTTATAAAGTTATTTGTGGCGGAGTGGAAGAAACTTCGGCTTTGCTGAAGGTCAAGTTTGACTACATCTTCTTCACTGGCGGTGCAAAGATTGGTCAAGTTGTTGCAACTGCGGCGAGTCATCATTTAACTCCTGTGACACTGGAACTTGGAGGGAAAAGGTTAATATTTTTTAAAATTCGTGAATAATTACCGTATTTTACTTGACTCCGCGCTCCCTTGAGTGAGATGTGCATTCAAAATATTCAGTCTATCAAATTTCCCGCGCAAATTTCATTTAATTTATTTAAGTTTTCCAGGGAAAAAATCTTCTAATTCCATGTTATTCTTTAGCCCTTTGTACCTCGACGACACGGTTGATTTTGACACAGCTGTAAAACGGATTTTGTGGGGCAAATTTCAAAATGCTGGACAGCTTTGTTTGTCCCCGGACTACCTCATGTGTTCCGAACCTCTCGCCAAAAAGTTTGTTGAGAAAGCGCAAACAATCATCGCCGATTTTTTCGGCGAAGACCCGCAAAAATCGGACAGTTTTGGGCGAATCATCAATGCCAGTCATTTCAAGTGAGTTTGAATTATTTTTTTCCCACGGTTTTAGAAGAAAACGCAGCATTTTTTTTCTGTTTAGGCGTCTGGAAAGGCTGTTGGAAACAGGGCACGGGAAAGTCGTTGTCGGAGGAATAACTGACGAGGCTGATTTGTACGTATCTCCCACGATTATCGTTGATGTTTCCCCTTTACTACGCCAATACGTCCTCCTTTAAAAGCCCGGATATGAAGGCTATTAATAGTACCTGTGGCGCCCTCTGCGACACCTAAAGTAGTTGTCAGCCACTCCTCTAGTAGTTTTAAACTTACTACTAATATTCTTATTGATGGGAAGAATTCGTTTTATATTTTTTTCAGAGAACATCCTTTGAGTGTTTACGTTTTCTCGAAAGATAAGAATGTGATTAAGATGTTTGCCGAGGAGACTTCGTCGGGGTCGTTGTCTGTGAACGAGGTGTTGTTTCATTTTTCTGGTGAGAGGAGAAATGGCGATTTGATGATTTATGGATTTGTAGCTGTTGCATTTGAAAATCTCGCGTTGTTATTGATTTGAATTTTTTTTCTCAACCCGAATTTACGTCCAACTTCTAATTTTTTCGTTCGAGACGTTTTTCTTTGTTGCGCATTCGTCAATTTCAGTTCACTGGATTGTTCAATCATGAAAAAATTAGGTTTTGATCGAAACAATAAATTATTTCGCATGAAATTTGTGCCTTGGGTGGACCATCGATTTCGTCTCAGTTCTAATAGGATTGCCACTTAGTTTTAATGATACCTTTTTCTTGAAGACTCATCCAATGGATAAAAAAAATGTATTAAAATGTGGTCCAATAGTTTTTTAATGTCGGTTTTGCGATGTATTGTAGTCTAGTGAATTTGCGGATATGCGTTTAATTTTATGATATCTTCGCGGAAGTTCGGATGATGAAATTTAACGACAAGAAAAAAGAAGACATGCCCAGAAAGAAATTATTGTCCCGTCATTGTGTGGAGACCCGTTGACATTTTAGAATTTTATATTTATGAAATTCGTTTAGCCTGCTCAAAAAAAATATTGTGTTTATCGTGCAGTTGAAGAACTTCCTTTCGGAGGCGTGGGATCAAGTGGGTTTGGAACCTATCACGGGAAATTCAGTTTCGACGCCTTCAGTCATCGACGAGCAGTTTTGAAAAAGGATTTCAACAAGCTCGTCGAATACGTCGGAAGGTTCGTGCTTGTCGCATTGCTTCACTTTTTTTTTCTTCAGATCACTTTTCTTTTCAACAAGAATGAAAAATCTGAGAATGCTAGAAAAGCAAGATCAAATTGATTAAACGCAGGTCTGATGTGAAAATACGTTATTTCCCTGTCATTCATTTTGAAAACCTTGTTATAACAGATTATTCAGTACAACAATTTTTTTTCGTGGACAAAATCTTACTGAAAAATAATGTAATGCCTTTTTCCATCCCCTGAGCAGTTGTCGATATCCGCCGATGACTCGAGAGTTCCGGCTAGCTCGCACGTACAACAACTTCTTCGCTGCCTCACAGGGTACAGGCGGTAACAGACGGTAAAATCCCAAGAACCGGCCTAACCGCAGACACAAACGCCACGCACGGAACTAAGTTGACTGCGAACGAGGTTATTGACGCCTTATTGAAAGTCCCTGAAACTTGTGGCAATTTTTCACCGAGCGGGAAAAAGAGGCATATTCTGCTTATGAGTTGCGCAGTAGGTTCAAGGAATACAGTACGGTACAGTACGGTACTTGTGTATGCATACGAATTCATTGTTCATGTACAATGATGTGATGGTCTTCGGGGTTAGCACTTGACTTGCAATATAAATAACACTACGTTTGCCAACTTCTCCGAGCTCCATAAGTAAAACAGTGTTTTTAAATTAAATACACAAACGCCCAAAACATGTTCGAAGCGTAAGGACTTCCCCTTAAAACAAAATATGTTTTTAGAGATCATGTTGAACCTGTTGGGTATGCCATAGGCTCACAATATTTTACTTTTTGCGTTGTGTTGCCATATTCAGGAGCTGATCTGGCATTGGAAATGAAATGCATATCTCAATATTCTTGTTGGAAATGTCGGTGTAGAACAGTTTTCTTCAAAACTCCATAGCATAATAAATTCGAATGCTGTATTTGGAAGCACTTGAGGAACGCAAATTATAAGTTGGTGACGTAAAAGTGATCCACCCTGAAAATACGGGAGGAGAAAATGTTGTTCCGAAAGTGGGATGTCAGTACTCTAATGCACAGGGTTCGTCCCGAAAAATTACACTCCGCATCTAAAGCAAGCTTATTGGGCTCTCAGTTATGGGTTATGTTGAATTCCGACTGTGGATGAAAAATTGAAGATGTATCAAAATATTTATTGGAATGTAAATACTATATCTGGAAAGGAGCATGTCTCCCGATGAGAGCTTCTTCTGGCACTTATGCCATACCAGACCAGCAGATGCGTGTAGAAAAAGTATGATTTCCAAAGGTGGAATTTATTGATTTGACTGCTCATATGTGTGGCCTCATTTTTTTTTTTGGGCTCATTCCACATCATGTTGCATCTCTGCAATAAGATTCACCTCCTTCCACTTGTTCCTGTTCCTTCGCTTTTTGTGGTGATGTTGCTTCAACTGGAATTTGTTAGCCAAGTTCAAGCCGATTTGAAAATGATGACTCATGCATAAAGAATCGAATCACTTTTCACTCAAACATGGCACCCGGAATCAATCAACTGCATCATGAAGCGAACAGTTTATCAGCTCGTTGATTATCTAATACAGTAGGAGAATGTATGCAAGTACTGTAGACAAAGCAATGCATATGTATTCTTTAATATTTTCCACTGATTAAAACCAGCTTGTGTGTGCAAAGTTTCGATTAGAACATATTCACGGACTTTCTGTGCATATTTTCTTTGTGGTAGTACCTGTTCTCATCAAATTACACTAAATGTATCCTGGGGTCGTACTGTAATGTAGTGCAGCACATGTATTTGGAGTGGTGAACTAGTTCGCTTTTTTATTGGGCCGACTCTTTAGGTACGCGTTTAACATGCTTGTTTCGCGAACCGGTGTAGCAGGCAGGGCGTACTCCCCAGGTACAGCGTACTCCACCTGCAGGAGGATTAGTCCACATCCACGGAGTGCGATTCAGCAGAGGCTCTTCTGCAGTGATCACTTACGCAGTGGTATCTTCCACTGCGTAAGTGATCACACGTTGATTCCACAAAAAAGTTGATTCCACAGTGATTCTTGAAGCGGCGTTTACTTTGGCAAAAATAATGATGAATTCTGTGGAAATCTATTTCACAGCAGGCCTTGGAGCTATCCCACTTTGGGGGAGCCATGTGCAAAACGATGCCCTCATAGATGTTGCTAACAACAACACACAGAATGTCATCAGCGGCATCCATGTGTGGTTCTGGAAAATGAATCCTCTTTACCCCAATTATTCAACAACCCTGTTGTTCCAACGTCTGAGTACGCTATCCTCAGCCTTACCATTGGTCTGTTTCATCCTTGATCCAAGTTCATTACTGGCTGTATTTGAATGGAAATGTGAATTGACACTTGCACTGTTATTTATTGGGATTCAGCTGAAACTGACTTGGGTGGGGGGCAGTTAGGTAAGGTTAGGTCAGGTTATGCTAGTTAATAACACTTAAACTATATATTTTGACATCTGCATGTTCATTAAAAATATTTTAACTAACATAACCTACCTTTGCCTAACCACCCCCCAAAGTCAGTTTCAACAGAATTGCAATGAATAACAGTGCTAGTGTCAATTCACATTTCAATTTGAATGTTGTACACAGTTGGCAGCACAACAGGGCTGTTGGATAATTGGAGTGTACCTGGACTCTTTTTTCCAAATGATGCATGGATATTGCCAGTAATGCGTGTGCAAATTAGTACCCACTGCTTGTTTGAAGATGGAGATAGTAGTCTGGAAAATTTATTTTGGCAGAATTTATAATTTGTTTGTCAGAGTAAATGCCGCTTCAAGAATCACCATGGAATTTGCTCTCCTCTGAATTTTGTTGAAAGAACTACTGCATGCACTCACCATGGAACTTCACTCCGCGGATTTGAATAGACCTGCCGGACGGCATAGCACACACTGGAGTACACCCTGCCTAGGTAGGGTGTATTCCTGGAGTGCATCCTGCCTAGGCAGGGTGTACTCCTGGAGTATGATTTTGGGGGAGTACGCTGTGCCGCCCACACCGGATGACTTCTGAAAGTTGCTCAAAGAAAAAGGAATTACTGGGGATCTTTTTCGCGTTCGTGGAATTTCTGAGGGATTTCATTTCAATTCTGGGATGATTTGATAAGTTGACGTGTCTTAAAGAATGCAGAAAATTACCGGAACCTGTACACTGGAGGTCTTGACGCTCCCGAGTTCGTCGATGGAAATAAGTAACTGAGACCAGGTCAACTATTAGGTGGACCGCTCTTTTCCTCATTGCTGCGATTAAAATCCGAGAACCTGAGTAATTTTCTCATGATGAATTTCTAAAATTTGTCTGCTCTTTTAATGAAGTTTTGAAGCTTGTGTCGCGTTTAGGTGCTATCGATTACGTGCGCGAAAGTTTCGGAAGTGATCGTGCAAGGCTGTAGTCTAAGCAGATAATGGATTCGACTGCTTGGGATGGTAAGAACCGTTGTAAAGTGTTCGCTTCTTCGTTGTACCGTTTCCGAAAACTCCTGTGTTTGCTAGTTACAGATTTGAGGAAGCAGGCAAATCATTTAGAAAATGAGCTCGACTTGAAGTTGGTTGCGTTCAGTAAGCTTGGAGCTGGCTTGGGAACTACGATCATCGATGAAACGTCAGATACCTCTCCCCTCATAGCGAAGGATAACAAATTCGATACTCTCACATCTGAGATAGAACAAATTCTGGCTAAGGTGCAACACACATCCTCTCTGTTCCTCGGTGTTTCTAAAATATGTTTTATTTCTCGTAGCTGACAGCTATCAATGATCAAATGAGTTCGTTACCGTTGACAACGACCGCTTCAATTCACACGGTCCAGCGTCATCGTGACATTCTTCAAGACTATGTTCAGGAATTCCATCGGACGAAGAACAACATTCAAGCGTGTAGGAATCGCGAGGAGCTTCTCGGAGGAGCAAATCAGACTTCTGGCCTGAGTAGGCGCATGGACTTCCTTCTGAAAGAAAGCAATCACTTACAAAAGTAAGGCTTGAGGCCTAAGTTGTTTCGTTAAATCCTAATTCTTTCGTTTTACAGTTCTGACCGTTTGATCGATGAACAAATCAACACTGCGTTGGAAGTGAAAGAACATCTTCACTCNATGTTTTATTTCTCGTAGCTGACAGCTATCAATGATCAAATGAGTTCGTTACCGTTGACAACGACCGCTTCAATTCACACGGTCCAGCGTCATCGTGACATTCTTCAAGACTATGTTCAGGAATTCCATCGGACGAAGAACAACATTCAAGCGTGTAGGAATCGCGAGGAGCTTCTCGGAGGAGCAAATCAGACTTCTGGCCTGAGTAGGCGCATGGACTTCCTTCTGAAAGAAAGCAATCACTTACAAAAGTAAGGCTTGAGGCCTAAGTTGTTTCGTTAAATCCTAATTCTTTCGTTTTACAGTTCTGACCGTTTGATCGATGAACAAATCAACACTGCGTTGGAAGTGAAAGAACATCTTCACTCCCAAAGAGCAGCCATGAAATTGATCCAAACTAAAATGAACGACATGGCTAATCGGTTTCCGATGCTGAACTCGCTCGTCCAACGGATCAACTTCCGCAAACGACGGGATTCCATCATCATTGGTTCTGTTATTGGGATATGCTTCTTCCTCTTACTTCTGTACACCTTCCGATGAGTGGAACCCATTTTGTCTTTTCAGTTATAGACCTTGTGCTTATTTTGGATTCTACTTCATTCCGTGCGGTCGTTGGATTGGTTGCACCAGAGATTCATTTCGTGTTACTCTTCTTTTGGATGCGATGTTGATCGGTTCTTTGAATGTGTCGATACGAACGCATTGCACAGATAAGCTTTCTCGTGTTGGGGGACTTCTTTAGCCCATATAACCTGGCTGTATGCTGCTGAAGATGACGTGAAGGCGGTTGAGGGCTATTTTCTGAGAATGCCGTTTATTGTTAACTGGGAGGATGAGAGTGTTGAATGCACAACTGTGATGAGTTTTGTTTTGAAGAATTTCTCTGTCTGGAAGTTGATCTTCGAATACCAATCGACGGGGTTTTCTTTGGCAGGAAATAGTGATTCAGACATGAAAATTTTTTCCTTTTTGACATCCAACAAATCTGGGACTTCTGCAGACAAAACTGGACCAGATCGCGGTGAGTTTTTATTTTCTCGTTCTGTTGTATTCTTATACGATGAAATTGCACTTTGGCATTGATTCTACAGTGAAATGGCGTTGTAGTATGTTTCCAAAGTGTTTATTTTTAGCTGTTTTATTTGGCAGGGTTGACAAACGAACAGGCTCTGAGCATTGCCTGTTACATTTTCGTTGTTGGTGTGATCGGCATTCCGTTGTGGTGGAAGACCACAGAAGTTTATCGCGTTCACGTGCCACATGGAGACATCAAAGCATTGCAGGATTTTCGATTTGTCAACAAAATTCCCATCAAAATTTTTTTGACTGGAGAGACGCCGGAATTTGAGCGGTTGCCTGCGGAAATCAGCTCCCTCACCAATGGTGATTTGAATATTTTTAAAATTCAACATCGCGTGATTTATGGGTGTGTTCATCATCAAAGTGTATTCCCACTTTTGTTTCACTCATGCGCACTTGCCAAAATCAAAGCAACTCAAGTTATTTGTAAATGTATTAATTCAAGTAACACGCACCCTTAAGTAAGACGTACGCCTGATTTTCTCATCCTAAAATTTGGATAAAAAAAATCGAACCGAGAGTAAGACATGTACCCGATTTTGGTAATGGAAAATTTTCAGAATTTTTTGAATGAAGCATATCAGAATTCAAATTTGCAGTTGATTCTAACCAAAATAAAAAGTATTTAAAAAATGTCCTTGCAAAAGAAATCAAGAATTACTAAAATTTTCTTTTTAAATCACATTACCTTAATCATTGGGATTTTTATTCTAATATTTGTTGCAATTTTATCCCTGAGTAAGACACGTACCCTATTTCTGGTGACTAAAACTGCATTATTTGAAAAATATGAAAGCCCGAATATGAATTTCGACATAAATTCAGCCTGAATCTGACTAATTTTCAATTTTTTCCCCATTAAAATGAGCTTTTCTTATAAACATCGTGTAAAATTTCCTATTAGAATCAATCGTAATGCACACGTAACCTTCTAAAACTTTTTGAAAAATTTGTGCCCATCTATGACTCACACTCTCGTTTTTCCTCTAAATTTTGAGAGAGAAAAGTTGGGCTCGTACTTGTGAGTAAATACAGTAACTTATGACCTTGCTTTTGATCCTGTATTTTTGAAGGATGTTTGAACCAGTGTTTGAAATGCCCGGGTTTTTTTCTTTTTCTAGACGACGTCGAGTACATTCCGCAAGAATTCCACCTCCCAGCGAACTGGACCCAGCTTACCAACAGTTTCCGAACCCTGGAATCCTTCGAGACGAAAGGCCTGGAATTCCCTCAAAGAAAGGATTGGAACGAAATGCCCGGGGTGATTCGTATTTGGGAAATGCCGTCGGATTCCATCAACATGAAAGGCCGAGACGTGGTGATTGGTGCTCGAAGGAACGTTTTTCTTCGCGGAAGACACGGTGTTGCGAGTCCGTATTTGATCCCGACCCTGTTGCAAATGATTGGGGATTCTTCGTTGCGGCGAATCAAGTACAGTGGGCATGGAGACGACGGAGACGTGGATGCCATCACGAGGGTCCATTCGTCGGGTTCCTACGATGTGATCTTTTCCTTGGTGAACCCGGATCCGGCGAAGATTCGGGTTCCTTGGAAATTCCCGGAAATGTTGCAAGGTACGATGCCGTCATTGTTGTCGTCGTCCATCACATTTTCTCAGATGCATTCTGAAGAAGGTTCATTAGATTTGTTCACCCTGTGTTCTCCTTGTTGGAGTCTTGATTGAAGATGGACGTAGTTTTTACTGAATACGACTGGATAATCTTCTGACAAATGGAAATAAGGGAGAGAGTTGGAGAAGCACTCGTCAGTTTCCCCTGCTGTGATGTGCGACTTTGCGGCTAGTTTGATGGTTGCCCAATTTTCCGATGTTCCAAGAATCGTCGTTAGTATTGATTAATATATAAACCTTGTCCAAGTGAACAAAACGCTCCGATTTTTGGAAAATTCCTGATGGAAATATTAAATTTGAATCGAAAATTTAAATGGTAGAGCAAGAAGTTGTTTGAGTCATGGTGTCGATTGAAGAAAATTCTCAGAAAACGAACGAAGGCTGGGCTTGAGTCTTGCTGTTGAACCCGCAGTCATTCCGAGTTTTTCTGATCTACAAAATCGGATAGCCGAAAAAAATTCCTTCTTGAAATGTTGACAAAACTCTTGGAACAATTTTCAATATGATTGCTCTTGAGAGAAAGTTGTGCGAATTTTTGGAACATACATTATCTTGAAAAAATTTACCAAAAATCGTCAGTAAGCGCTGTGCCCCAAGAACCCCTAACTTTTCTGAGATTTGTATCGTCAAGACTGTGAACTATAACAAAATAAAATTAAACTGGAACATGTTTCACTCGAAAAATCCGTCTTGGCTTCCGGAAATCAGCTCTTATATATTTTATTCATATATCTCAGCTGTTGGCGGAAAAAAAATCTGGGTTTTCAGATTACCGATAAGAAGCTCTGAACAAAAGTAAGATTGACATTTCATTGCCATCATGAAATTCCGCTAAAAAAATGCCGCTTTCCTTGGAGAATTTTCTTTTAAAAACCCAGTTTTTTTCCCTCTAGAATTAAAAGCTCAGAATAGATTTGTGAAACGAGTTTAGTTATGAAATTGAAGAGATTTTCGGGACTAATGAACAGTTTGTGATGCAAGTTTCTTGTAAATAGTTTAATGATGTGAATTCGAGAGATGGGCTCATTTCAGAGGGATTTTTGAATTTTCGAATGAAAGGGAATTTTTCTAGTACTGTACTGTGTATATGGTATTTGTGTAAATGGAGAAACGCGAGCAGATGTCTGTTGATAATCAAGTGTTTGTTCGACATCGAACTACTGTATTTCATTAATAGGGAATCTCTCTCCAAATTTTTTTTAGAGTCTGAAGTAATTGGATTCTCGGAAAATTGTTTCTCTATTTCGCGGAAACCCTCATGTTCTTCGATTAAATTTTTAGTCTATAAACATAATAATTCCATCAACAACCGTGTGAAGGAAAAAAGAGATACAGATCGTAATTTAACCTGTCTTCGATCCAATACGCGATGGAATCCAGCTTGAAAATGTTGTGTATATTTTTCCAGCCTACCTTCGTCCGTTTATCGACCACCTGGAAGGATTAGCCGAATTCAACATCGAAAGCCAAAATATGTATGAAGCTGCAGTTGTGAATGCCGGTGACATGCGACGATCCGGTGGAATATTTTGGAGCCAAGAACATCGTTGCTTCATTTTTCCGGACACTTTGTCGTCTCAAATTATCACTAGGTTGGAGTCGAAGCTTGGTGAGAACTCCGGTGTTGGAGTACTTCTGGCAAAAATCGATTCTATATTGAGAATTAGTTGACGTCATTCCACTTTTTGTATTGAGTGGAATTTTCTTTCAGTTGCTCCAAATCTTCCGTGAAACTTTTGAGCTCGGAATCGATATCACACCCATTTTCTCTCCAAATTGTTTTGTTTTTATACATTTACCTGATTTTGTCGCAGGTTCCTTTTTGTCGACAAACCCGGCCCTGCAGTTTGTGCTGTACATCAATCATTATAAGGAAAACCAAGGACCGCTGAAAATCGGCCGCGTTGGGAAAACCGGCTACGAATTCAGTCCGACGAACGCGTTTATTTCTCCGCGTTGGGGCGGATTCCTGATTGCTAATGAAGTCGTGCGCAATATTTCTGCACAAACGGATTTGCGAATGTCGGGCAGGGAAGTCATGAGTGTTTTCATCGCCCAGCTTCGGAGGCTGCTCGGTTTTCCGTCCCTGAAGGTGTGTTGTTGACTTCGTGCTTTTTTTTTTTATAGAAATATTTACGAATCAAGTTCTTTTTGATGGAATGACCAACATACCTTTCAGCGAAATGTCGTATAATTATCACCTACTGTATTTACGCGATTATAAGCAACCCCCCTTGAATTTTCGTGCACAAAATTAAAAAAAAAAAAAACAATGCAATAAGCGAATATAAGCACGCATTTCCTTCCCTGGCATTTTGACTTTCCAGGAACGTACAATTTCTGAATAAATTCATGTTTTCCCGAGAAAAGAAAAAAAGACAAAATTTGCTCATCCCCTTCATGCATTTTGAAATGCTAAAAGCTGACCATTTCTTGATTATTTTCAACTTCAAAATTCCAGAAGAACTGAAGAAAAATATGTGTTCGACCTTTTTGTGGTCTCAAATTTCCCTTTTTAATTACAGGTGGTTTTTGAGCTTAAATGGAAGGAACGTGGAAAAAATTGCTTTCAAGTTGATCAAAAGAAAGTTTGTTTTGGGAAATGCGTTCAAATGATAATTGGTCTTTTATTTGAACGCTATCCCAAGCAAAAACTTGTTGTAACCTTAACCTTCAAATCCATCCAAGGTCTTTTTCCCACCCACAATGTCTTTGTAATTCCAGAAAAAAATTCAGAAATTTAAAACTCTTTCCTGTGATTTACCTGTCGAGAATGGCGAGATACTTTTTTTTTGTATACGGAAATAACTTTTTTTCCCGTTACTGTATTCGCTTCATTTGTGATACGAGCAGCTTTTCAATGAACTGGAACCGAACGCGGTCGGGACGAACAAGATGGGCATTCAGAGCAGCCGGGGCTGGGAATTGGATCAGTTGAAACGGATTCGAACCTTGGAGAACACCCTGGGTTCCATCGACACTTTGACGGCATTGTCCGATTTGTTGGACGAGATCGGGAACCTGGTGATTCGTGACGAAATCGGCACTGAGATTCAAAAGGCAGTGAGCAGTATTCGAGCTGTGCACGAGTTTCTGGAGAACAGCGACTTGGAGAATGCGTTTCGAGCCTCACTGGTCGCTTTGGAGTCTTCAGACAAGGCGTTTTTCGACGAATCCTTGCTGGAGCTCTTGTATTTTCCTGGTGACCAAAAGTGCGTTTTTTTTTCTTCTTGATGCAAACTTTTGAATATTTTAAATTTGTGAATGTGATGGGAGTGGAGAAGACACGTGTTCCTAGAAAAAAATATTACTAAAAATCACTTTATATTAATTTATTGGTTACTACGAAGTCGTTATTCAGGGCCCTGTCATGCATATCGCTTTATGACGAATTATCTTTATAACTAAGCCTGTTCCCCGGTCCCAGCAGCTTCGTTGTAAAAAGATTTTACTGTATATGTACAAGTATTGCTGTAAATGTATGCAAGGGTTGTCCCGCTTAAACTTAGCCTAGGGTACTTCTAGAATGGGCACCACTGTAGATACAATTTTATAATTTAGCCTGTGATGTTCTGAGGTTCTGGGAATTTTTCCGGATAAAAAAAATTTTGTTTGGCATGATGAGCGAAAACGTTTCAGTTTTTGGCTTAGTTCTCCACTCATGTCACAGGGTGCTGGAAATCTGTTGGCACAGCTAAAAAATTGAAATTTTCATTACGTTTCAACCATGATCTTTTCTAAATTTTGTGAAATTTTCAAAATTTGAGATTATTTTTTTCACAAAAATTGAAAAACATAAAGCATATTGCTTTGGTTTCAGCACGCATTGGCTCGTATTATATATTTATATGTACTGTATACTGTAAATGGTCGCGGATATTCATAGCTTTTAGCTTGAAAGAAACGAGTCTTCTGCTCAAAAATGTATAGAAAGTCCCCGCATAAGGAAACACTCACTCAAAAAAAAAAAAAAAAAAATCCGCATGACGAAATTTGTTGAGGGAAAAACATGATGGGCATTTGAAATTATTTCGTGGAAGGAAATTTCTTAGCTCGTGAAATGCTCAAATTTTAATATTTTGGAATTAAACCGAGTTTTGTGTTTTGCTCTCGAAAGATAGCAGAAAGTGTTTCCGTACCTTTTCCAGGTGTCAATCAATTGTTTTTGTTGGGATGTTCCACCTCATTTCGCATTTTTTGTTTTCCTTTGAAACAATTTATTTATTATACCCTGATTAATCCCTGAATTTTTATATTTCTTCGAGAAATTTCAGGTCTTTTATTTTATGTTGAAAAAACCACCTTGATTCTGGAAGACAATCCGTGGATTCAATTAAAATATGCCCGTAGTCAAGTACAATATTGTGCAGTACACTGATTTTATTTCGAATCTGAAGTTTTGGTCGTGTTCCGAAGCGATTTTCAAAGGGTTCATATTTTTTTTATGTAGGGGACGAGTTTGGCAGTTCTGATATGCGTGTTTTTTATTCCATTTTACAGATACGCGGTCTACATACCGCTATTTTTGCCGGTGGGCATTCCAGTGATCTCATCGATACTCCAGTTGTGGCGTTGGTGGCGAAGCAAAAAGCCCTGAAGACGGAATTCCGCTTGTTTACAGGAACACACGCACTGTGATACCTTTTTTTTTCTTGTTTTTGGGTTCTTGAAACCATGTGAAAGATTTTTAGATTTTTGTTGTTGTGATTGATGGAGTTTTTTCCAGTCATCTTCCCGCAGTTCTTCACGAGCTGTCTTCTGCCGAATCGAAGGAACAGAATATAAAGGGCAATAAATAACGGCATTTATTTTGTAGCGTTTTCTCCTTGCTGTGTCAACTGTCATTTTTAGGACTGGTCATTTGAAAGGATGCTTTTTTAATGTTGCGAATAACTGAAAATCTGTGCAAGAAAGGGTTTGGTAGTTGGATTTGTTCTTTGGTGCCCAAAAGGAAGAAGGTTGTGAGTCAGGATTGCATAATCTCCCCGGGGGATCAATTAGTTCAGGGAAAAAAAAAGGTTCTTAACAAGAAGTTGAAGACGTTACTAGACGTGTTGACTAACGAGTGGTTAACTATGAAACCCGTTTGTAAGGTACAAATCGAAGTTATCGAGTGTTTAACGGTTTGTCAAACATTGTATTGTATCTACTCAATTGATGATCAAGCTTTATTTTCTGTGTTTCAGAATTCACAAGGTTCAAGATTCAGTATTCACACAAGGGGGTTTGGTTGTGGAAATCTTGAGTGAACCTCATGAACGCTGAAAAGCGGCAAATAAAGTGTTCTGTTCATTCATTCATTCAAGGTTCAAATAATAATCCCGCATCTGAAGCCCTTTCCCTCCACATGCACATCCATTGAAACACATTCCATCACATCAAGATGTGAAGTTGAGAAATAAGCTATGTATGGGTATTTAACAGAAAAGAAAATACATCACAGAATGTAAAAATGTATAACTGATCTAAATGCATAAACTTCCAACCGCAATAACAAAAGAAAAATGTTGGTAGTAAAAATAAAGCATAAGGCAATTACTGAACCCAAATTTAAGCACGAGGTGTTCAATAGAAAAGTTCAACAACCCTCATGTGAAACTTGCCCCTTAATTTTGTGGCACAAATGTTTCCCAAAAATCCCAATACCTGCACAAAACTTGAACTCAAGATTTTATTGGGTCAAGTCCCTTTTTTTTTCCAAGAATTGTTCTTCAACTTCTGCAATGATCTGCACAACTGATTGCTCACCAATTGATACTTTGGGCAAACATTCCATGTTTAGCTTCAATAGCTCACAAATTGCCAAAATCAAACATTGTATTGTATCTACTCAATTGATGATCAAGCTTTATTTTCTGTGTTTCAGAATTCACAAGGTTCAAGATTCAGTATTCACACAAGGGGGTTTGGTTGTGCAAATCTTGAGTGAACCTCATGAATGCTGAAAAGCGGCAAATAAAGTGTTCTGTTCATTCATTCATTCAAGGTTCAAATAATAATCCCGCATCTGAAGCCCTTTCCCTACACATGCACATCCATTGAAACACATTCCATCACATCAAGATGTGAAGTTGAGAAATAAGCTATGTATGGGTATTTAACAAAAAAGAAAATACATCACAGAATGTAAAAATGTATAACTGATCTAAATGCATACACTTCCCACCCCAATAACAAAAGTAAAATGTTGGTAGTAAAAATAAAGCATAAGGCAATTACTGAACCCAAATTAAAGCACGAGGTGTTCAATAGAAAAGTTCAACAACCCTCATGTGAAACTTGCCCCTTAATTTTGTGGCACAAATGTTTCCCAAAAATCCCAATACCTGCACAAAACTTGAACTCAAGATTTTATTGGGTGAAAATTGAAATTTCTTTAACCAAATAATAATTTCTAACTATAAAAAACTGTATACAGATGGACTCTCTCAACAACATTTTCTGTTTTAAAAATATCTTTTGGTCCAATTGGATTCTCTGTCTGTGTCCTATGGGTTCTCCGCAACAAATATCTTTCTACAGCAAATTTTTTCTGGTCTAGAAGGCTGCTGTTGAATATTGTTGCTATCTCTTGTGTTGAGGGTTAGTGATCATGGAATTATATTGATTCATTATTATTTTCCAGAATGGACGCCTGTGCGGCAGTAGATAGAGATGTGACAAAAGTAATAGAAAAGTTTAACAACCTGAAATCGTCGATCGTTCGGCATTGCGACGATGCCTACTCCAAGTTGGACAACATCAGGGATGTTTTGACTGCCAACCCAGAAGGTAAGATCAAGTATTCGAAAAGATGAAAGAATACTGTATTTAATATGCGTTCGTTTATTTTTTTTTAGCAAGTATGTCAGTCGCTGAAGTATTTAGGCTGACAGGAGCTGTCAATGGAGCCAAGGAAATGGCTCAGAAAGTTGCTGCCCAGCATCGAGACCTGCACAATGCAGTTTCCAAAGTTGGGAAGGCAATTGACAGAGTGAGGCCTCATTCTAAAAAGACCTTGTGTTAAGTTATCTGATTACAGTTCGTTATACAGTAAAGTCAAACCCCAATAAGACGCCACCATTTGTCCAGAGCAATTTTGGTGGTTTAAAGAGGTTGGCTGTTTATCAAATATTTAATTTTAATTATTTGATCAAAAATACTCATTTTCCTCCAAAAGTCATAGAGATACAGGTTATGTAAGAAATTTCAGTAATTTTCCAAATAGTATTGATGTGATCAATGGATTACTCTTACAGAAAATAAGTTTTGCTGCATCAATTTATTCAAATTTTAAGATTAGGTCAATATAATTTTCAACAAAATGATCATTCTTATTTTCCTTACAAATACAAGATCCTTGGCAGAAATTATAATTCTACCCCAATGCGGGCTTTGTAATGAAGACAAAACTAATTGGAAACAGCACTTTTGTTTCATCAATAATGCTGGCAGATGGCAGTTGGTGTCTTATCAAGGTTTTCTATAGAATTTAACATAGATGAGATTTGTTTCATTTGAAATTTTGGCGGTTGCTGAGGGTGGTGCTTTATCTTGGGTGCGTCTTAATGGGGTTTGACTGTACTAGAAAGGGAAAACCCTGGAGTAACCTCACTCATAAGAAAGCACACTTTGTGCACTCTCTCAAATCAATGACCAAATCAACCATTTTGCAACCTCATTAATTTTTGGGTTTTACAGAGTTGGAAAAGGTTATTCAAAAAAAAAAAACCTGTCACCAAAGAGACAAGTTAATTCTGACTCAAGTGACTGGTACAACTGCAGAGCACACTTCTGACTATGTCCTTTTTGTACTCTCAAAAGTTGGAAGTAACAATAGAGCAAAATAGAATAAGAACAACAAGTTAAACCTTGGTGATGCAAACCACCCAATTTTGAAATTTTCTGGAGTCTGTTCCTGAATTCTTTCAGAAAGAATGCATTAAAAACCTCAATAAGTCAAAGGCTTTTCCCCCTTAAAACCTCTGTGACTCACATTTTCTGGAGGCTTTTTGGCTATCATTCTATTGACGGAAGGCAGAGAAAAGTGATGAAAATGTAACTTGATGTGTTCTGAAAGGAAGTAAAAGACTAAGTGAGAAAATAAAGCCTTGCCTTTGATGTGAACTCATTTGAAAAGCAATTTGAGTCCCACAATTCCACGAATAGCAATATTCTGTGATTTTTTTCTTTCCTCAACAAAAATGCTTGTTTTCCTAATTGGAAGCCTCCCTAGGAAGAATTTTTTGCTGGTTCCTCAAAGTGGTTCAACTGTCTAATTATAAATTTTTAAATCACAAAAAGAAGAGAAGAAAAATAGAAAAAAGAACAGTTGATTGCTGTCAACAGGTCCGTTTTACAAATGCTTTTGGAAGTGGATTCAATTTCACAAAATTAAATCCTATGAAAAATGTCGTAATTCCAGAATTTTTCTGCCGACTACGGAGCTGCCACTGGGGAATGCGCCTTTACGAGTCCAGATTGCCAAGCTCATCTCAATCAGGGAATCTACAATCATTTTCTGCAGCAAGGACTGCTGGATATCGCCGAGAACCTTGTTGAGGTATGTTGAGACTAANAAGAACAGTTGATTGCTGTCAACAGGTCCGTTTTACAAATGCTTTTGGAAGTGGATTCAATTTCACAAAATTAAATCCTATGAAAAATGTCGTAATTCCAGAATTTTTCTGCCGACTACGGAGCTGCCACTGGGGAATGCGCCTTTACGAGTCCAGATTGCCAAGCTCATCTCAATCAGGGAATCTACAATCATTTTCTGCAGCAAGGACTGCTGGATATCGCCGAGAACCTTGTTGAGGTATGTTGAGACTAACAATTTGTATTCGAAAATGTACATCAACAAAAATCATGCTGAATTTTCTCGACAGGAAACCGGTGTTAACCAAGACCCGGAAAAGAAGAAGCCTTTCGTGGAGCTGAAGAGGATAACAGAAGCCTTGAAGGATAAGGAACTCGGACCTGCTCTGGAATGGGCACTTGTTCACAGGGATATTCTTTTGAAAAAGGTGCGATATCTTTGAGCATTTATTTGCGAACGTCTTTATTTTTTGAAAATAAATTTAGATTTACTCGATATTTTGATGGAAATCGGGCTCCGAGCGGAGGATCTCGTAACGATAAAGCTATCCTCAATGTAGAGCTCAACTTTGATTTCTGAACCGTCGGGCAGATGTCGCCTGATTCGCTGATCTGACGCAAAAGCATTTTTACTCTCTTCACGACTTCACCTCCCCATGATGTTTATGTTTATGGTTGATGTTTATGGGGTTCTCTGTGACAAAATTTTTTTTTTATAACGAATTTATTTTTCTGGTCCCTTGAATTTCGTCGTTGAGAGAGTTCATCTGTAATTTTTAGTGTATATCCTTCAGAGAATTCGCATTTTGCCTTTAAAAATTCCGAATAATGTAACACATCCAGGAATGGATTTATTTCGTTATATGCAGGACCCACTGGAATGGTAAAATCAAAATTTTGAAAATAAACTGAAGTGTTTTTTTCTTTTCTTGCTCTTTCGGTCCCTTCAGTAAACCTCAAGTTCGAGGTCTTCGATGCCAAAGAGGTCTAGGACCTTTGACTTCCGGCCCGCTTACGCAACGTGATACGCTCCAGGTTGAAATTGAAAAAACGCCTTAGGCTGGCTGGCGGGATCCAGGAGCTCATGGGTGCTCTGGTGTACCTGGATGCGAACCGGGAAACGGGGAAAATCACGTCCAAGAACCCGCACTACCAGTACTTGATTGCTGACAATGCGTGGTTTGAAGTTGTTTCTTTGTTTGCCAAGGAAGCCGGTGCGATCCAGGGGTTCAGTGTGACGAGTCCTCTGGCCGTCTGGTTCGTCCCTTTTTTTTCCTTCGCGTGATGATTTATTTCTTTTTTTTTTCAAATTTTTTTTTTGCAGCGAGTCCTAGCATTACGAAAGACCCGCGCAACGAAAAATTTGCATGACGAACATTTCTGAATAGAGGCGGAAAGATACTCGCATAACGAAATTATTTCACCGAACGAAGTTTTTCGCCCAATTCTGTTTAAATTCAACTTTACCTTTTGTTAAAGTTGAGCTAGATTTTTGGGGGAAGTTTCGGGCTAATATTTGTTGTTTTCTTCAAAATTGACAAAGATTACGAAAGAGGGGTCTATTTTTGCTTTTATTGTTTCCGACATTTATGTAAAATTCAGAGAGTTGCTGGCACAAACTTGTCACTACCAATGAGAAAAGGGTTGGAGTTTTCTTTTCTCCGACGTCTGTGAAATTCAGGAAGTTAGGAGCGAGAAGGTGTCAGGAATACTTCAATTTCATAAAAGTATTTTATTATTTGATATTTTGATGTGTAATACAGTCGAACCCTGATAAGACGCCACCATTTGTCCGGAGCAATTTTGGCGGTTAAAAGGGGTTGGTGGTTCATCGAATATTTCATTTTAAATTATTTGATCAAAAATACTCGATTTTATTCCATAAGTCATAAAAATACAGGTTTTCTAGAATCTCCAGTAATTTTTCAAAGAGTATTCCTGTGATCAATGGATTACTCTTTCAGAAAATTCATTGTGCTGCATCAATTTATTCAAATTGTAAAATTAGGTCAATATATTGTTCAAATAAAAAAATGATTATTAATTTTTTCTTTTTAAAAATGCAAGATCCTTGACAGAAATTACGATTCAAAAACAATGTTGGCGTTGTAACGGAGACAAAGCCAACAGGAAACAGCACTTGTGTTTCATCACTAATACTGGCGGTTGGCGTCTTATCGAGGTTTTCTATAGAATTTAACATGGAGCAGATTTGTTTTGTAGAAAATTTTGGCGGTTGCCAACGGTGGCGCCTTATCAGGGGGCTTTGTAACGGGGTTGACTGTATTTGGTTTTTTGTGTGTGTGTGATGAAGTAACTTCAAGGAAGTAAAAAGTACAGAAGGAGTTAGATGTCACAATTACGACCTACGTTTCGCAACGGCCGCGACGAGTTGTAGTTTGTTCAGTACGTTGTTTCCGAAAGGAGCCCGATAACCTGGAGGTTCCTCCTTGATCCCGTGAGACACATTTATTTATTTTTTTATTCTGTGTCGGTTTTCATGCGTAAAAAATCATGATTGCAGATTGAAATCAACCTGGGGAAGGAAGGGGATTTCCACAGCCTGTTTGCTTGCCCCATTCTCAGGCAGGAAACCACGGAGTTGAATCCGCCCATGAGACTCGTTTGCGGGCACGCGATATCCAGGGATGCTTTGATAAAACTTACATCTGGAAACAAGTGAGGATGCTCTTTTACGTGAAAAATAAAAGGTGTCGAGTTGAAGGGATGTTCTTTGTAAAAAAAAAGGAAATTACTCATTTTTATTAGCAAGAGTAACAGCGATTTTTATTTCAAAGGGATAAAATTGAAAGTAGAGCAGTAATCCCTCAAAATATATACAGTATATTCTTTTAAAAATACTAAGAAATATATATTTTTAATTTAATCGTCTAAGAAATATTTGTCCTCAAGGAAGAACTGAATTTTTGAAGAGGCTGAAACCTATAAAACGATTTTAATTGAAAATTCTTCATTTGGGAGAAGAAATGATTATTATAAATTTAATTTTATAATAAAGGTAAAATTCTTAAATTCTTCTAATCCAAAAAGTCGGGCGTTTGTGCGACTATTTCTAGTTTGCTGGAACTCGTCAGAGATATTATGAGATTTTCAAGATTTATTGTTGGATAATCAATTGTTAGATAAATAAATGATGATCCGCATTTTTTGCGAATATCTTGACAATAAGACTTCAACAGCATTTAAAGTCTCAGCTATTGGACAGAATAAGTTGCGGTCTAAAATATGGTTAAAGTGACTTTAATTCTATTAGATGTGTAAGATTATTGCATTTTAAAAGTGCGTGTGCTTGCAGATTGAAGTGTCCGTACTGTCCGATGGAGCAGAGCCCCGGTGACGCCAAAGAAGTCTACTTCTAAAGCATTTCTCTGGACCAAATCGGGCGTGATTTTTTTTCTTCTTGTTCTGTGTAACGAACACCGGCTAGTTCAGGAAGTGGATGATGTGATGAGTGGGTCCTGTGGAGAAAGTGGAAGTTATTTTTTAAGGAAAAACCCCTGAGATGGAGGACACACAATCGCGCGCGTTGTGATGATTTTTTTTTTTTTTTATGTGAGCATGAATGATGTCTAGGCGTAATGCTTTCCCCTGAAACATAATTTGATCTTGGGATAGCCTTCTGCCGAGTCCTGGTGAATTTTACAACATCGTATGAATGAGTCTGTGTCGAATTAGATTTTTTTTTTTTGTTCGAAGAGTGAAAACGGAATGAGACCAGCTATTTTTAAGAAAAGTAAAAAAAAGGAATATACAAGCTGATGCAACCAAGACTTCCTCGTCAATTTCTCTGAATTCCCTCATTATTATAGTGAGACCCCCAAATGCAGACACCTTGACCTTCAGACAATTTGACATATGGACACTTATTTTCCCATGAGAAAGTAATAGAAAAGACCTGAAATGAGGAGACTGACTCAACATAGGGACATTTTGTGATCAAATTGCAAGTAAGTTTCAGGCCAATTACAAGAAACAGATATTTCCAACCCTAAAATTGATATAACAAAAGTTCTTGGGCATACCTCTCACCAATTTACCATCCATTTAGCTAATTTTCAAAAGTTACCTCCAGTGTAGAAGGACTTCCTTCTCTTTATTTCACTTGAATGTTATTTTTACAGAGAATGCCAACATTTCTATGTACTGTACAGAGGTACAGTATCAGTATTCAAATCCCCAAATGTCCATATTGTGTTGAAATATATTGATTGAATCAGTTAAAATTGGGAAAGAATATTTATTTTCTTGGAATTATGTCCATAAAATACCAATTAAAAATTATATAATGTAAGTCTAAGGGAAAATGAGACTAGACTAAGGGACATTTCAACTTAGGGACTCTTGATGCACTAATTATGTCCACATCTTGGGGTCTCACTGTATTTGGTTCCTTGTTTTTTTTCTTCAAATGCAAAAGACTGTTGCATGGACAAATATTTTTTTTGAGGGCAAAATTGTTTTTTGGTGATGAACGTAATTTCTTTCCATGCAAAAGATAGAAAAACATGATTTTCTCATTAATTACCAGCATTTATAGGCATTATTTTTGGCAAATTTTTGTTTGTTTCCTACACTTTTTATTTGCCAAAAATGCTCATGAGAATTTTGTTCAATTTGAATCCTTGATGTCCAACTTATATCTAAATTAATACTTTAAACTTTATGGTTTAAGACAGTGTTCCAACTTTTTTGGTCCAAGGACAAACAAATTTCCACAAAATGTTTGCGGACTGGCAGAGTTCCATAAACTTTTTGCAGATGAATTATTTCTGAATACCTGCCATCAAGTCCTCCAACCAGAACTCCTCGTGCCGAAAATTAAAAAATAATGATGTTAGGGTACATTTATGGAACAGCGAAGACAATCGTATTTCGGAACTATGGAATGTTGTTGTGGTTTTCTTCTCTCGGCGTGTTTATTTTCTATTTATTTCAAAAAAAAAAGACGAGACAAAAAAAAAAAGAAAGGTGTGGAAAGTGGTTCAGATGACGATGACCCTGCTGGAAGCTCCCTTCCGGATAGTGACCACAGCCTGGCCCGGTTTGATCCCTTCGTGATGATGATGATGCTTGGGTGAAGAGTCCGCAGAGTGATGATCGTGCAAAACGCGGCATTCTTCTTGTCTAATAACCCTGTCTTTTTCGCCGTCAGATCCTGGACACGCCGTACAAGGAGCCTTGCTGGGCGCATCATTCGGAGCCAGTCGCAAGTGAGGCACTAGAGCCCAGTAAACGGTGTAGACGATGAATGCGAACACCATCCACTGGAGAACCCAGTCCCAGTTGCGAGAGAAGAAGCACGCGAAAGACCGCATGGCGCAAAATGGACTCTTGAAGCAGTAGTGGTACGGGCTGTGTTTCAGTGAGAGATGCCAAAAAAAAAAATTGTGTGAATTTTCAAGAAAAAATTGCAGTCAAACCGCAGTTTAGTGCCATTTATCATTTGTCCTGGCACCAAGCCAGAGTATATGACTAGATGAACTTTAAGCTTGGACCCTGCCCATTTTGGGGAACTATTGTTGAGAACCATCAACCAACTAAATTCAATAGAAATTTCTACCTTGAGAATCTATTTAACATTCCTCATGAGAGTTTGTTTTACTGGAATTGGAAAATTTGTCATATTGAGATTCATGCAATTGTCAGGACTTGAGAAAAAGTTTTTTTTACTGTATAATTAGATTCCACTTCATATCATTTTTCATTAAATACAGTACAGTGAGTTTCAAAAATGCCCTTCTCTCCAGAATCCATATTATTTGTTGGGAGAAGAAGGCTAAGTTGGGAATCTCTACTGAAGGCAAAATAAGCTTATTTAAAGAATTATTAGGCCACTGAGTGTTTTTCAAAAGAGACAGCCAAAAGGAATAATTTGAAGCTCAATTGTGCAGTTTTTATACTGTATTTCAATATTCAGTGAGACCCCCACATGTGGACACCTCAACATGCGGACAATTTGACATAATGGCAATTATTGCATGAAAAATTCCAATGCTTCTAAATTACAAGAAACAAATATTCCCAACCCTAAAATTGATGTACAAAAAGTTCTTGGGCATTTGTCTCACCAATTTGCCATCCATTTAGCTAATTAAAAAAAGATTACCTCCAGTGTAGAGGGACTTCCTTCTCTCTTTTTCACTTGAATGTTATTTTTACAGAGAATGCCAACATTTCTATAATTAAAAAAAGATTACCTCCAGTGTAGAGGGACTTCCTTCTCTCTTTTTCACTTTAATGTTATTTTTACAGAGAATGCCAACATTTCTATGTACTGTACAGAGGTATCAGTATCCAATTCCCCAAATGTCCATATTGTGTTGAAATGTATTGATTGAATCAGTTTCAATTGGGAGACAGTTTTTATTTTCATAGAATTTTGGAGAGTATCTTGTCCATAAAACACAAATTACAAATTATATAATGTAAGTCTAAGGGAAAATGAGACTCGACTTGGGGGCACTCTTGATGCACAGATTATGTCCACATCTTGGGGTCTCACTGTACTGTACAGTATTTATTGAAAAAGTATTTTATACATAAAAATTGTTGTAATGAGATTTTACTTCAACAATTTTTTCAGTATAAAATACTTTTTCTCAAGTCTTGACAAGTACATGAATCTCAATATGACAAACTATCCAATTATATTGAAACAAACTTATGAGAAATGTTCAGTAGATTCTCTGGGTAGAAATTTCTTGACCAAGGCAGACACAGTCCCAAATGTGACTGATCATCCTCTCAGAATGAAGAGATTGGTGCAACTGATGGAATGCATGATTGCATTTATTTTCTCCCTAGATCACCATTTTTCAACAATAATAAAGCATCTGAGAATTCCAGAAAAGCAAGATCTAATTGATTATAGCAGGTCTGTCATTGAAGTTTGTTTTTAGTCATTAAGTTTCAAAATCTTGTTATAATGAATTAATGAGTAGAAAAACCTTTTCTCTGAAGTCCAAAACGTTTTTTTTAATTAGATTTTCATAATACAGCATTTTTTCTTTGGTAGTGAAGGAGCCAAGATGCTATTTATAACCGGTCTCTATGTAAATTGACATATTTATATGTAGCCCCAAGAAGTCTGCTCAAGAATTTCTCAATGGCTCCTTGGAGCACATATTGAAAACTTCTGGTCTAACCATCCCAGAAAATAACTTAAATTGGCTCACACTAGAAAAGCTTGAGGAGGAATGCTGGAACCCAAGAATCTCCCAAACCCTGACCAGGGAATTGGTGGGGGTTCAGCTCTGTCACCAGGACCATTGAACCCACCAGTGCTCCTGTTGCCTACTGACCTAGCCCTTCTCTTGACCCTTTGCAGCAGCTGTTCTTTTTCCCTGTCCAATTCTGAGAAGGAAGGTGATGTTTACATGAAAACAAATGAAGGGTTTTTTTTGTGTCTCATACCCAACATTCTTGTCCTGCATTTGTCAAGCAATGGGTCACAGCATTTTCCCTCTTGTCTCTGGGAAATGAAAAACCCTTTGTAGGTTTTATACTGAATGTTTGCTGAGTCTCACCATTTCTCTCATGGTCTCATGCAGGCTTTTCAGGAAAGCCTTTTTCTTGTTTCCTTGGTACCCATTGATCTTGAGAAGGAAGTGCTGTGCTCTTCTCTGCTCTTCTGGCTCTGTGCAATGTATATTTTTTTCATTTTTTTAAAATATTCCTCAGGATAAAACACCAACCTTCCTCAGAGCAATGATTGTGGAAGTCACCAGAAAATCTTTGGTCACAACTGCAAGAAGCCCCAGTTCCCATCATGAAGAAAATTGAAGGGAGGTGAAAGTCCACAGAATTTGCAAGAATCTTTAAAGTTGCCTGGGAGTGGCAGAGATGTGCTTGAGGGAGAAAGGTGTGAACTCCTTTCCTGTCCCATGGTAGAACTTGCTCTGAAACTCAACCCTTTTTTTTTGGGTGGAAGAATCCATGAAGGTTGCAACAACATGTAATAAATAAGGCCAATTGTTACATACCAATGAAGCCTGAGGGTGTGCAGGAAGGCAGATAATCCCTCCATGAGAACCAGCACCCCTACAGTCAGTACAGCCCATGCTGCAAATACTACATACAGCAAGATGAAGTTGAATCTGTATGTTGACAAATTGATTTGGAAACCTTTCCTCAATATCATGGACCACAGCACCTCTGACAGCTCTGTGAAGAAAGGGAAATTTTGATTTACAATATAGAAACTACAATATAGCTGGGTGGGAAGGGGGTTTGGTTGTGGAAATCTTGATTGAACCTTGAGAATGCTGAAAAGCGGCAAATGAAGCGTTCTGTTCATTCATTCATATAGAAACTTGTACCAACAATGCATTTTGGGAGTATGATGTGAGTGCCTGTTTGTTATTTCCAAACTCAATTAACTTCCAAGTTATGCAAAATGGAGTTGACAAATAATTTTTTGAATAAATAATCAGTAAATAGTGGAATGAGATTCTACTGCATCTTTGCTGTATCTCAATTAAAAAAATTGTTTAAAAGGACTACTGTAATTTATTTCTCCTTAATCAAAGCCATATCCTAAAGTTATTTATGGCCAAATCTTGACAAAAACAGATGGACATACGATTATGTGCCAGGGACAAGGCCCAGAGTCTCAAGTAGCTGGCAGTGTGGGACACAGAGCCCAGGACAAACTCAATAGTGTGAATGGCCTGGTTGATGAACACTTCTGAAAAATCAAACTCTGTGTCAGTCACCTCAGACTCCACCTCTATGACTTCAGCACTTCCCCTGTGCTGCTCCAAAAGGTTGTGAGCTTGGGCTTGCTGGGCTGTTTGCAGAGCTTCAAAACTGTGGGACAGCTCATAGAGATCATCTGGCCCTCTTCTGTCCCTGTGGCTTCTCTGATGAATTTCATGCATGAAAAAATAAGAGTGTTTTTTATAGTCAAAAACTTGATGTCAATTTCTTGATGGTCCCTTGGAATTTGAGTACTTTATGTTTAACCATATGCTGATATTTCAACTTAAAATACACAGGTTTTCAAGGTGAAATATCAGAATGTTTGTCTGTTTGCTAGTGTGTGTGTGTCTGTGTGTGTGTGTGTTTGTGTGGAATGGATTGAATATTCTCAACTCACAGAAAATTGTGTCAACAAAACTCATCCAGTAACAGATTAGTTGTGATAAATGCATGGGCCCACAATATGTCTTATATACACTATTATTTGATGAATTTGAAAATTAAATGATTATCAGAATTATTTAAAAATGAACCTCTTCTTCTTGCTCCCTAGTTCTGGACCTCAGTGCCTTCAAGTGCCTCTTCCTCAGGACAAATGGTTTCACCAGCAACATCCATGGGACACAAATGAGAGCCACCAGCAAAAGGAACATTTGGAGCTCAACCTATGCATAAAGGTTGGAATTTTTGTTACTTTTGAATATTTTAAAGGAAAATAGTGTTTATCAAGATGAAGCTTCTCAACCTGGCCTGGGAACATGGTGCTTTCACAGTTTTCAATTTTAGCTGGTGCCTTGAAGAGCACCATGTTGATGAAAGTGATGAGGATGGATGGTGCACAGCTGCTGTCACTGACATCATACTTGACCCACTTGAGGAAGACCAAAACTACAAGGTATCCAAACATGCACAGCATGAAGAGCAGTTGAGGCACAAACTCTGCCCAAATGTTCAGTGGCTTCCTGTAATACCTGCAAAAGATCAACACTTTCCTTACATCTACTTCACGCAAATAGTATTCTTATAGTTAGCTTTGATAATCCATAGGATCAATGCTATAAAATTTCACTCTTCAAGGAAGATATTGATACCATCTAAGCTTTTCACTGACATTACCATTCACCAAAAATAATTTCAAAAATGCATTCCGCTTTACTGAGCATCTATAATACCCAGCTCACTTCTTAGTGTTCTTACCACATACTCAAAACTGAAACTTAGTTCACCTGAGTGAATGTGCCAACCTTACCTTACTAAGCACAACTTAACAATTGAACACAATTGAACACCTGTCCTGACAAATGCCTTGCTGAACCTCACTTAATGACACTTAAGCTAGGTCAGAATCTAATCTAAAATCAGTCAAAATCTAACCTTGATTTAATCAAAATCTAACATTGATTTAATCAAAATCTAACATTGATTCAATCAGAATCTAACATTGATTTAATCAAAATCTAACATTGATTTAATCAAAATCTAACATTGATTTAATCAAAATCTAACATTGATTCAATCAAAATCTAACATTGATTTAATCAAAATCTAACATTGATTTAATCAAAATCTAACATTGATTTAATCAAAATCTAACCTTGATTTAATCAAAATCTAACCTTGATTGAATCAAAATCTAAATTTGATTGAATCAGAATCAAAATCAAAATTTGATTGAAGCAAAATCTAAATTTGATTGAATCAAAATCCAAATTTGATTGAATCAACATCTAACTTAGATTAAATCAAAATCTAACCCAAATTAAGTCAAAATCTAACCTTTATAAAATCAGAGTCCAACCTTGATTAAATAAAAGTCTAACTTCAATCTAACTTTGACCATCCATGACTTAAACATTGGTTATGGCACAGTCAGAATCTGATCTAAACTGAGTTAGAATTCAACCTGAAAAAACTGAGCATTTAACCTCAATTAACTGAACATGTCTCTTATTGATTTATCTGAGAATTTCTTTTAAATTAACTGAAGATTTTCTCCAAATTAAGTCAGAAATCTTACATGAACTAATTAAATGTCTCTACTAACAAACTTTTTTAGCTGGTGAAACACCAACTCATTTAACTAAAAATGTTAAAATGTTCCAAGTGAATGAAACACTTGGACCTAAAAGTGAGCAATTGACTGTATTCACAATGCCAAACAAATCACGCAACTGAACAGAATACTTAATCTAAAGAAGCATTTGGTAAAACCAGTTGGAAAGATGGTAAATTTGATATCCTGAATACATATACTGTAAATGTTGAGTCACTATACTAAGCATGTGTCACCCATATTTCAAGCAGAATTGATAACCCAAATTCACCCATTAAAAAGTGCCAATAACTCACGTGTGATTGGTCAAGGACAGAACCACACCAAAGAGCATTTGCATGACACCCAAGACCACAGCAGTCTTCATCTTGAATGAGTTCAAGTAAGTGATTTTGTTGGTTGCCATTCCCCAGACTGGGTCCACCCCAAAGGGATAAGGTACTCCTTTGTAGTGTACAGCTGGGTCCACACCCAAGTGCTCTTCTTTAGTCAACTGTTGCAAACTGAAAACAAATCAAAGTGGCTGTCTGACACAACATGGTCTGCTTCAGACTCTCTAATGGAAAAAAATATAAATTATAAATTGGAAACTAACTTGAAAGTGTGGTAAGTGAAACCAGAAGGAAATATCTTTATGGTCTTGCCAAATATGTCATTGTAGATGAACCCTGCATAAGTTCCAAAGATGCCCATCAGCATGATGATGTATCTTCCTCCAAAGAACATTTGTGCAATCTATAAAAAAAAAGTTTCAAAAACAACATATTTTGTCTTCATGCAGTTGTGTCAAGTTATACTTCATTGCTCCTGGCCACAGATTCCAACATGTCCTCCTTCCACACCAAGTATGCCCCAAAAGCTGCCATGATGAGCCCATGTCCAATGTCTCCAAACATCACCCCAAACAGAAAGGGGAAAGTGATCACAGCAAAGATGGCTGAAAAAACAAAATCTCATGGAAGTTTTTTTTTGCTATTGGAAGGTCATGTAATGAGTGTTCAACTAGTCATTAATACTGTAGTACAGTGACATCTCACTTCAACAAACTTGTGCTGGATACTTCAGGGAAGTTTGTTACAGTATAATGAATACTTTTTATTTTACAAAATTTTCAAAATTATTGGCTGGGAAGATAGTGCTTCAAATGAAACTAGCATCAATTCAAGGTGTTCATTTTTGGCCTTTTCAGGTGTTTTTTCATGTTTGAAAACATTGTAATGTTCAAAAATAAATACAAATTTCAGTAACAGGTGAACATAAGCACTTTTTGTTGACTTCAGGTGTTACAAAGCCATTACAGTACTGCAAAGATTTGTGAGGGAGTATGTTCCAAAAAAGCTTACAGTTGTCAAGTATCAGTAGGGTTTCTCAAGCATCCAAATCCCTCCCCTTAACTGAACATTGCATATTTTCTGGGAGAGAGAATTTTCAGGTGAATTTTAAAGGATTTCTGTCCTTGACTCCACCATCCTTTTATTTCCCAAAAACCATAAGTGAGTCACATTTTGAATGAGAAATTTGAGTCTGTGTCTGCCTCCATTAGGGATTTTTAATCAGGAAAATTAGTTTGTATAATAATGGAATTGGAGAGTTTGTTGTAACAATATATGCTTGTAACATGTACCCTATATGATAGAGTTTATGCCAAGACTTGGAAAAAAGTTTGCAGCACTGAAAAATGTGTTTTAATGGTATTAGTTGCTAATAGTTTTTACTGAAATACTGCTGTATATACTAACCTGGGTTCATTTCTTTATAGTCAGCCACTCCATAAGCATCCACAAGACTCTGGAAACCCTGAGTGAGCCTGTTGGTTCTGTTGAAAGTTGGATGAACCTCATCAGTGGCAATTCTGTTGATGATTGGTGCAATGGTTCCTCCACTTCTAACCTATCTCAGTGATACATTACCCCCCAAAAAATATGCAAGATAAGTACATCATGAAATGTGCTTTATGAAAATGGTGTCAGGGTTACCATTCCAGTGACTAGGGAATTTTGCACTTCTTCCAGACTGCTGGTTGGGATCCAGCACTCAGCCACAATGCACTCAGGGGCAAAGTCATACATGAACTTGTTGAGGGTGTGGTAAATGGCCTTCATTTTGTTGACCCTGATGAACCAACTGTCCAGGCTTTTGGCAGCTGCATTCAGTTCCAGCACTCAGCCACAATGCACTCAGGGGCAAAGTCATACATGAACTTGTTGAGGGTGTGGTAAATGGCCTTCATTTTGTTGACCCTGATGAACCAACTGTCCAGGCTTTTGGCAGCTGCATTCAGTACCCTGAACCTGTATTCCTCAGTTTGAGACAGAACCTGGAATGATGATGAATTGCAAACTGTTTTACCCAAATGCCTCTCACCACTAAGATTGTGTTGCATGGCAAAGAATTTGCCTGTAAACTTATCCTGGTTTTTTGCTGGTATTAAAAGAATTGAATTGAATTATCATGGTAAAAATTTGAAGCATTGTGACAGTGTAATTGCCAAACAGAACTGCTTGCTTATTACTTTTGGTTTCTTATTCAGTCTTTGGAACATGGTTGTTATGCAAGAAAATTTTTTTGCATACTGTGGTCAAGTCATCCAGTCTGGACAAGATTCCCATCATGATGGATTGCCTCTCATCAGTGCTCTCAGGTACTGGATAAACAGATGCCCTGAAACCTTCACAGATTTTATGAACTCTATTCTTGAGGGCCTCTCCTTGGAAGAACACAGAGAAGATCACCTTCCTGATCTTCTCACCCTGTTGAAGTAAGCCAGCTTTTATCAAGGTAGAAAAAAAACCTTGTTGAATTATTGTTTTGTAAAAAAGATAATTTTCATGTATAGTGAAAAATAAACTGCTCAAAAGAAAATCTGGCCTTTTAAGTATAGAAGTGTTAAATATGACATTTCACTGTATTTCAGCAATGTTTTAAATAAATTTCCAGTTTTGACATGCAACTGCAATAAAACATGCAAATAGGCTCTGGAGAATCTGTTTCTGTTGGGGAACTGATTCACTGCTTGAAATCTTACACTGTATAAAAAACTTAGTATACTGTAGTGTAATGTAGTTAGCTAATTTGAAGGTAAACAAAAGATTTTTTTCTTCTAGTGAAAAATACTTTGAGAAATATATAGCTTTAAAACTAAGTCTTATGGACACTTTTGCTATTTAAAAAAAAACAAATGGCCAATTTATTCTGCCAATAATTTGCCAACTCTGCAAATAAGTTCAGGATAACTTTTTGTGGTCAACTGATTCACTACCTTTATTTCTTGAAGTTTATACTGCTTACAATAGTATAATTTGTTTCACTGAAATTATGAGATGAAGATTCTTCTCTTATAAAATAACACAAAATGCTTATATTTCAATAAATGGTCAGTTTATGACAAACACTTGCAAATCCCTGCAAAGAGGTTCTTTTCCTGTGGAACTGAATGCTTGGAATGCTTATACAGTTGTAAAATTTAGCCATAGTATTTTATTCAATCAATGAATTGATTATTGATGATCTTCTCACAGATGCAGGGTCAAAGACTTCTCCTGGCACATCAATGACTTTCAGGAAAACGTTTCCTCTGCAAGCCCTCCACAAAAGCAGTTCAAAAGTCTGCAATCGCTCTCTGGGCAGAGTTCCAGCCACAAAACCCAAGTGGGATCCTATGATGTCATCCTCGGGATCCAATGTAATGGACGCCGAAATAATGCTCCTTCTTTTGTTATCATCAGACTATATTAGACAGATAATTTCACTTGATGAAATTCAATTTATTGTTTTTTTTTAGAAATCACAGAAAACCCCCACATGCAGACACCTAAACATGCAGGCAATTTGAAATATGGACAAATTTTCCAATAAAATATTCAAGAAAAAGCCTAACATTATGGAGACACTGACTTATATTGACAGGCAGACATTGCATGCTAAAATTGCAAATACCAAATTACAAGAAAAAGAGATTTCCAGCCCTAAGATGCTAAAGTTCTTTGGCATTTCTCTCATCATTTTACCATCCATTCAGATAATTAAACAATTAATTCCTGCATGGAGGCACTTCCTTCTCAATTTTTGACCGTAATTTTATTTTTACAGTGGTATGCCAACATTGCAATGTACAGTACTGTAAAGCAGTACAGTAATGCTCCAAATGCCCTTATTGAGTTGAACTTTATTGATTGAATCAGTTTCAATTGGTGTACAATTGTTTCCATTGCTTTTCATGGAATTCTGATGAATATTTCTTCCATAAATCACCAATTGAAAATTATGTAATGTAAGTCTAAGGGAAAACAAAAATCAACTCAGGGACATTTTGACTTTGGGACACTCTTGATGCACCAATTATGTCTGCATCTTGTGGGTCTCACTGTAAATATAGTCACAGAACTTGCCTCATCAAATAATTCTGAAGAGTATTTCAACAAGGTTCTGAACTCATTGAGCTCAAAGAAGTTCTTCTTGAGAGCATCAGCATTGGAGTTGACCTCTGCTATTTCATCCTCCAGTTTTTCAAAAGTGCTCTGGGGAGAATAATAACGTTTAGTGCATCATATAATCTTTGTGTATTTCTCTAAAATTTCTGCATATTCTTTAAAAATGTATATAATTGAGAATATTTTTTCATGCAGAATCTATTCTATTTTTATAAACACTTTGTATAAGCATGATATTATAATACTGGTGGTGTCCTGCAATTCAACCCTAATCCATTGCTGGACTAAAATTGCAGGGCCTATAAATTGAATTGCAAGTCAACCTTGCAGAAAATTTAATCATTAAATTGCATAACAGTTGAATTGTGGGAGGTCAAATTGCAAGGTACCATCTGTACCATTATTGATGATTTGATGTAAAATGTGTTCAACAGAAGAATAATACCTCAATCCCTGATAAAATAGTAATTTTCTAAATTTAATCATGTTTAATCTATATTTCATCAGCATCAGTAGGTATTATGGTACTTTCATGTTATCTCAGTACCTACTTTCCGTGCACCGACCAGAAACTGTGAATTTCATTTTTCCGAATTCTGCTGAAACTGATTTTGGGAGGCGGTTACGGTTAAGTTAGGTTAGGTCAGGTTATGTTAGTTAAAAATATCTTTCAATTAACATAACCTGGCCTAACCTAACCTAACAAATACTGAATTCATGAGACAAAGAAATGTAGGTACTGAGATAACTGGAAAGTACCGGTATTATTTCATGTATGTTAATATGCATTGTAATAATTTATTAAATTTCTCACAGGATTGAACATGAGATTTTACCTCTTGATGTAACTTAAAGCAGAAAAGATCCTACTTATTTAAAAAAAAATCAAGAATGTAAAGGTTGGCATATTACTTCCATGTCCCCAATTTCCCCAGAATCAGGTGCATTGTAGTCCAGGTTCCTATTGGGTATGGGAACATCAGCCTCCAGAATTTGCTTCTCCAAGTACCTCAGCTTCCTCAACATTTCCTCAGCCCTCCTGACCTCACTCACATGCTGTCTGCTGAACAGGTTCTCCTCAGCATTCAGCTTCAACATTTTAAAGTAGTGAGTGAGCTTTTCACTGAATATTCTTGCTCTCTTGATGAAAAATAACTTACATCCCTGAACTCAACCAGTCCCAGCTCCCCAAGCTCAGCCACACAACTGTAACCTGATTCAGCTTGAAGATACAATTGGCACAGCATCATATCCTCACTCCTGAATGGAGAAGCCATTTTGAAATTAACTGTCCTGTGAATAATGATGATGCAAGGTAAAAAAAAGAGCTGCTGCAAGATTATATGTTTCATCACATCACTCAGAAACTTTCTTAAAAAACAAACTTCCATGAGGTTTTCAGTCATAAACAATAATGTACAGTATATTTTCAGTCTTCAGGGTCATAGTAATCAGGAGACAAAATATCAATGCCAGATACAGTGGGAAGAATGAATCTCTTGTAATAGGATGACACTCTAGTTGCAATGGTGGGCACTTCTTTATCACACTGCATGCTTGCATATATTCCACCAAAGTCTTTGTTCCTTGAGAAAGAGTTGATTCCCACCAGGACCAATTGGTTGTTGATTGACTGGATGACTGGACCTCCATCATTTCCCTGAAACCATGGTACAGTATTACAGTACAATAACCCTTTAGATAGAAAACAATTCACTTGATTAACAAACTTTTGGTTACCAGGAAGAATATACCTCTGTTATAAGAAACCAAAGTTCAGCTAAAAAATATATTTTTTTTCTGGGGAAATATCTCAAGTTTGAGAATTCAAAATTTGATTTGAGGCTGAAATTTATGTCACAATCCAAGTGCAAATAATTCACCTGTGCTCTCAAATGAAAATTCCTTCCTCATGGCACTTTGATATGTGTGAAATATTGTGCTATAAAATTTGTTTCTGCTACATTATTCATATGCTTTTCTGTGACAATTACTTGCTTTTCTGTGCTTGGATTTTCTAGTTGTCTAAATGTGAGAAAGTTTTATTTGATCTTCACTTGCTGCAGTGAAGAATACATTTCTTCTTCACTTTTCATATATCCTTCAATCCTTCAGTGTTTATTTTTCTGGATGTGAACCTATTTATCTTTGTTTTCATCAATGCTACATGGAAGTAGCAAAATGTGAAAACATTCTGGACACATACAATTTGCAGCACCAAATTATTCTGATTATTGTTTATGGTGTTGAATTTTTTATATTCAAGGTTCAATTATCTTTTGGGCTCATGGAACAGATAAAAATTGTCCTCAATGAATTCTATTGGAAACTAAAATTTGGTTAATAAACTTTTGTCTGGAACCATTGAAGTTCATCAACCACTAGTGTACATATTTTGAAGAGAGTATGCAGTTATACATGTGAAATTATAAATTAACTCACAAAGCAAATGGCATTGGTGGCCCCAGTGTAGCAGAGAGTATCAGGGGTGACTCTGAAGTTCCAGGGGGCGCCACTGTCCCTCAGACTCTTGCTGCAGGACTTTTGACTGGTTATTTTCACAAATGCTCTCTTCAACTTTGGTTTTTTTCCTGCATGAGAAAATATGAAACCTTTTCATGTACTATGTATTTCTAATTAATGTACATGATGAGTCCTACTTTTAACATCCCTGTCAAAAATAGGCTTGAGTGGCTCTGGAGAATAATTCATGCCCCAGGCCAAAGTCAGTGCATCAGTGTCTCCCATGGGCAAACTGATGTTGTTGGTCATTTTGATTTGCCCAATGAAAGGGTTGTAAGGAAGTGGGCCATCAAGTTTCACCATGGCTATGTCATTCCTTCTGCCACCATGAACATAGTATGGATAGATGACTGGACTGCCTTGCCTCAGAATCTCTCTTCCTTCAAAATCAACATGACTTATGTCTCCCACAGTCACAGAGACCTTTGTTGCTCTTTTCCTATTCCAAAAAAAAAAGACCAGCAAAAAAATTGCTGTGTGTCAAATAATGCTTTAGTAGAAAAAAAAAACCAGTTTTACTCTCACCCATAAGTGTTGAAGAAACAATGAGCAGCTGTGAGAACCCAGTCTTGGGTGATGATGGCACCTGTGCAAAGTTTCAATGCTGCCCCACTTTTTTGGGCCTTGCTGAAGCCTGCAAACTCTGATTCAATCCTTGCCAGGAAGAAATATGGCTGTCTAATATTCACATCCTCTCCACCTTCAATTTTTGGCACAAAAAGCCCAGGACTTTCTTCTTCTGCAAAGCAAAACAAAACAAAAAATTATAATTGTGTCTGAAATTACAGGAGAATTTCTACAATGAAGAACTCTTACCTGCATTTCCCAAATTCAGAATGAAGATGGTTAAAGAGAAGTATATCTGCAACTTCATTATATTAGAACTTGTTGTGGTCTGGTTTCTCTGCAGACTATAGATTCCTGCTCTGGTTCCCACAGTTTTTTGGGAACTTGGGAATCTTGACCTACTTGGAACTGCTGCATCATCATATGCTTTCCCCTTCAGAAAAAAAGTTTGTGCATTTTATATTTATAAAAATGTTACAAAGTGTCAAGGGTACAGCATGGATTTCACAAAGTATTGAGCAACAAATGTGTATACACATGGAATAACAAAAAAGAGGGTACATTCTCCTCAAGGTGATTTTCTGTGGATCAGTGATTGATGTACTTTGAGTCACACTTGTTGTGGATGCTGCCAAATCCTGGAAAAGTCTTGGAATGACCTTCAGATGTTGGGCTTGGGGGCAGGAAATCAGCCCTTCTTTTGTCATCCATGAGTCTGGGTCTCAGCTCAACTCTTCTCCTTGTGGCCAGGTCATCAAAAGGAACTGTGTCCATCACTGAACAAAACAAGCAGCAAAAACAGGCCAGCATGCCAACTGTGAATCAAAAGTGGTCCCACTCATCTGCAAGGGTTCTACAATAAATTGAGTGAAATTCAGATGATGAGCTTACAACCACTGCCAAAAAATAGCCAGATCAAGATTGCAAACATGGCTCTTTGCATTGGGATGAACCAGAAACCTCCAGACATCAGGATAGTGATGAGGGCCAGCACTAGGATGCAGTACATGCACTGGGCCAATCCATTAAATGGCCCATCAATATCGCGCCCTCTCTAAAAAATAACAGGTTACTTTTCAAAAATAGCTTCAACTATGCATTGTTTCATTATTAAGCTTAAACTCCATCTCAAATTTTGGGAGGACTGTCCCATGTGTGAAATTATTGGAAATATATTTCTCCTCTCTAATGCACCCAGAAAACTTGGATTGATGAGCTACAGTAAAAGGTACTTTCCTGTTATCTCAGTACCTCATTCCTAGACCGCACTGCCATCCAGACAAATCTTTAGGACAAGTTCATGATCACAACGACCTACCAGGAACTGTGAATTTTATTTTCTGCATTCTGCTGAAACTGATTTTGGGAGGCGGTTAGGTGAAGATAGGTTAGGTCAGGATAAATTGGTCAAAGGGAAGGTACAGAGATAACAGGAAAGTAGGTACTGAGATAACAGGAAAGTAGGTACTGAGATAACAGGAAAGTAGGTACTGAGATAACAGGAAAGTACCGTAAAATCTCATTACAAAAAATATTTCAATATAACAAACTTGTTTCCAAGTCCCAGCTGAAATCTTACAGGGTACATGTTATAAAAATCTTGTTACAACAAACACTCCAATCCCATTATTACAAATTTTTGAGGAACATATGTTGTCATTTTCCTTATGAGATATCCCCAATAATGGAGGCAGTCACAGTCTCGAATTTCCCATTCAAATTTTGACTGTGACTTACAGTTCCTGAAACATAAATTGATGGTGGAATCAAGGACACAACATTCTTCAAAATTCACTTGAACATCCTCTCTTTCAGAAAATGTTCTCTGAGTAGGAAAGATGAATAGATTATTTATTATTAACTGGGCACAACTCATGTAAAAGGGGGTTTTGTGTACTTGATGAACCCTAGTGATACTCAACAACTGTAAAATTTTTTGGAACACCCTCACAAATCTATGCAATATTTTTAAAGAAAAACTTAGAAGTTCACAAAAAGGCAAATGTTTACATATCATTCAGAGTCAATTTTAATTATTGACATTTGTATTAATTTTTGATGATCACAGTTTCTCAAACATGGAAAAACATCTTAAAAGGCCGGAAAAGAATTTTTTTTGAAGATTCTCAGGTTTAATTTAAAACAATTAATCTATAATCTCATTATAAAAAATTATTCTTTGGAATAAAATCTATGCAAAAAACTACAAAATTAGTAATAAGCAATAAGTGACTCACTCTGGATCTACCAGGAAAGAAAAAGAAGCCACCTCTGCCACCCCCAGGCAGTCTGCTGATTGTTCCACCATTTTGAGGCTCTGTAATGGTCCCTGTTTCTATATCCTCAGTGACTGAAATTGGTAAAGGTTCTTGGGTGATTTTCTGCAGCTTTGGCACCTTGCCATAAGGGTTCTTTTTGTGGATCCCAGGGTAAATCCCTTCCTCAATTTCCAGAGCTGGCCCCATCATGGAATCCTTAGTGCTGGGGCATACTTCCTGATGGTGCATGAATGTGTGTGCTGGCTTGAAACTGCCACTTGGCACATACCTCTTCAATTCTATGCCTTTTTGAAACATTACTAAGGTTATGTACTTGTGTTCAAATGAGGTACTATGACTACTTTACTTACTGATAAGCTTGGGAGTTTTCCTTGGAGTTAGCAAAGGATCCTGAGACACCAGTGCATTACTACTGGGAACAATAACAACTGGCTTACTCTGAACTTCCTGCCCAGTGGCCAAGTTTAGCAGAAAATTCTCAGTAAACTTTCTGACTAATGTTCTCATAACTCAGCATGCAGGGACTTTCTAGAGGCTGAGTGAATTTTGAATAAGATAATGAGACAAAGTTAAGAAGGTCTTTATAGTGCTATTCAATTAAAAAAGAGGATCATAAACCAAAAGCAGGATTCTCTCTCATATGACTATATTATTCACTCAATCTGAATGGCTTGGAGAGGGATATAGATGTGAGGATGATGCTGTGGAGGTAAATCACTGCCACTGGCAACCCTCTTGGTGTTTGCTTCATCATTCTTGGTGCTTTTGGGAGAATGGTTTTCTGAAGATTCATCAGAGCTGTACTGGATTTTCTCCAGCTCCTCTTGCTGCTTTCTCCTTGCTTCCTTCATCCTCCTTTCTGCCATGTGGTTTTCATATGACCTCTGTCCTCCAACTTTCAAAGCCAGGCCACAGAAGAATAGAGATGATAACAATAGCAACACTTGAGGAACCCCCAAAAGAAGAGAGGAGATAAATGTGGGTTATGAAGAGATTTATTTTGAGAGGTTTCAGTATTTAAACACATACATCCAGTTAGAATTCCAGCAGTGCCAAACACTGTGAACTCAGAGCTCCTGAAGCCAAATTTTCCCAACATCAAAGAGCTCAGAGTCAGCAATCCTATGGATGCCACCAGAGCAAAGCAGACACATGGGACAGCAAAATACATTCCTAGGACCTGAAAAATCACACAAAAGCAATCACTTTAAATTTTGAATGTCTCTGCAGAAAATCAGGTGGCAGAATAATTTTTAGTTTCCTTTGTCATCTTTGTGTATACAGAAAAATCTTGTTGAAATAAATATCATTACAAATATTTTCAGGGCAACTAACGCTTTCTCAAGTCCTGACAGAAAGTTCTTAGAGTACATGTTGAAGCAATCTTGTTCAACCAGCAGATTCAACCTGCAATTCAAACTGCAGAGATATTCAAAATGTCAAATTCAATGTAGAAAGCATCAAATTTGACAATGTCTTTCAATTTGACCTTTCTGCAATTTGACCGTTACGTGGCAATGGATTACGGTCAAATTGAATAAGGGCAGCACGTGTATAACAAACTTTTTCTGTGGTCCCCAAAATAAGCTTGTTGTAACAAGATTTTACTGTATAACATATTTTGCAGCTGCCAAAAATGAATAGCGCTGTTCGAATGAAATCCTTACTTTAGCACCTTCAGCCCCTGCTGACAAGGTTTCCTCAAACATTCCTCTGTCAGGGGTTTCTTCATCAGGAGCCTGTAGTGAAACTGGATCTGAGATGGATGAGCTGTCAATCAACTCAGTTTGCTGATTCTTAGCAGCCTGAACAGAAACAGTCACTGGCACCCTGGCATTCTTTCTCATAGAATGCACTCCAATCACTGATATATATAAAGGAATTGGGGGGGAAGGTTAGTTGAAGAATGAATATTGATGGGATTCACCAACCATTGGAGTTCACATTATTGGCTGACCCAGTCCTGATTCTGCTGGGAATGCTACTATTGGTTGCATCAACTATATCAGACCTATATAGTCCCCTTCTCTCCTGAACCTCATCTGCAAATTCCAAGATCATCCTGGTTTCTCCTCTAAGTGCCTCATCATGCGCTTCATTAAAATTTTCCTCATGTCTATTGCTCTTCTCTGCATCCTCCATTCAAACCTAATCAAGGCCCTTTTTGCTCCAGGCAAATGACAGATGTACCAACCAGTCTAATAATGCATAACATAATCCAAGAATAAGAGATAAATGAAGGTTAATTACAGAACTGAGTAAAAAAAAAAAAGGTTTCTTGGCTTTTCACAACAGCCCCACCATGATGTGTATATTCACTGGTTTGAAGAGTATATATATATACTGCAGAGATAAGTAATGTAAAATGATATCAAGGGAGAACTGCTCTGGAGATCCTCCTCATCACCTCCATGAACTCCTGGACTGTCTTCTCTTTGAGGACATTTTCCTGATTGAGGAGACTTGCAGTGTAGTCAGGCTTTTGTGCTGCCAATTTGGCAAAGCTGGCCACATCATCAGTTTTCACATGAACCATTCTTGGTGGGGAAGTTGCTGGCAAGGCCATGGGAAATGACAAGAGCGTCCCCCAGCTGGATGGCCCTGATCCTATCTTGCTCAAATACCTATAGATTTAATAAAAAACTTTTTTATACAGTACTTTTAATATCAACAAATGCCCTGAACTTTTGGATGGGACCTGATTGAATCCTCATTGGATTAAAGACAATCTGGAGATGATCAACTCAAGTCTGGAAATACCAGGAAAAATCCAGAGGTTTCTATTTTTCAAAATAAGGCTTTTCAAATTTTTTTAGTGAAGCACATGCTTCAGCTGGATCTAAATAATTGTTAACTTGGGCAAAAAAGATAATTGTGGGTCCTAATAAAGAAAAGTTTTTGAGCTGCACAAAAAATACCATTTTCAACATTGTCTAACCTCAGTAGAATACTTCAATAGTTTTGCATTGAAATATCTTGGCAACATAATAGCAATTCCAGTCAGGAGAACAAATAAAAATGTTTAGCAAAAAAGTCCAACTATGTTCCTTATTAAGAGTTAGGACAGAAGACAGGGTTTGGAAATTAAAAGTTTGGACATACAGCTACAAATCATACATTATTGAAGAAAGGTCACGGGTATGACATCAATATTGTCCATTTTTTGTTATTATTTTGACAAAATGTTTTGGCTTTTCAGAACATCAACCTCAAACAATAATACTTGTCAGATGTGAAATATAACCATTGACAAAATATAACCAGATAATTTGCTGCTGGTCCTATAAAAAAAGGTTTCTGAGCTGCAAAAATTCACATTTTCAACATTGGCCAAACTAAGTGAAGTATTATTTCATTAGTTTTTTTTACTGAAATATCTTGGCTAAAAAAGGGAAAATACCACTTTCAGAGGACAAATGGGAATTTCAAGCAAGACAGACAAAATATAAACTTGGTAAATGGAAGTATTAGAAATAATGCATTGCAAAATTCATGTTTCAAAACATATGTAAGGCAACAATATTGTCCATTGTGTTGACATTATTATTTTGACAGAAGTGGTTGTTTTTTTTTGAGAAACCACTGACCTCAACCAAGACTGGTCAGTTTTCTTGCCAGCCTTTTTCATCCTGCTAGCTTCATCTCTGATCCTAATCAAAACCTCTCTTGGGTCCTTGGATGGCAAAGCAGGACAGGTCTTTGGGTACAGGTCTGGTTTCTTCAGTTCATACTCAATGTCCTTGAGTCTTTGCTCATAGGAGGGATGACTGGACCACTTCCAAAGCATGTCCATCTTGGTGTCCAAGTTTGCCTTCCAGGTGGCATCAAAAATGCCCCAAAATACCTCAGCTTCTCTGACATCATAACAAGACCTGGCAGCCAAGTGGATTCCTTTGGGATGAAACAATCATTTGATGCTTGGGTTTGTTTTTAAATTTAAGCAGTGTTCCTTTTTCAAACAGACCAGCTCTGTCAGCTTCAGTTTCCAGAAGCCTGCTGAAGGGCAAATTCAGGAAGTACAGGATGGACAACTGCACCAGGGCAGTGTAAATGAAGGCCACCAAGTCTGAGGGAATGATCATCCATGTGGCAAACATGGCCACTACCATGACACTTTGTATGACCTGCTCACAAGAATGTTGAAGATTTTTTAAAATGCTGCTTATGCATTCATAAAAGGTACTGACAGTGATGCCTCAATGGAATATATTGCCAAAGAAGTGAAAATGAATGTTTTTATAAAATGAAAAAATAGAGAAACCATGACATTCTATGCCAAAAATGCACTTGAAAAGGGATGATGGTCATTGGAAAAAAAAACAATTGAAGGGATTCACCATTAACAATTATTTGGCCTAACACAGTTATTTTCAGTTTTATTCTTGAAGCTATGAAGCTTTAGAATTGTGGAAATAAAAAATATAACTAAAATGTGCTCAAGTGTTTTTTTCTCACCTGAAATTAAGTTTTTGTTGCTGTCACAGATTCTATGATCATAAAAGTTTACCTAAATCATCATATACAGTGGATTTTCAGTCAACAAACCTTTTTTTTTACCAAAATTTTGGTTTACAGGAAAAAACCCTAAGGTAATGAACAAAAAATTTGGTATACAACCTGTTTTTCCATGGAAAAATCCCAAATTTGAGAATTCAAAATTTGACTTATAGGCTGAAATTTATTGTACAATCCAAGTGCATAGAATTCACTTATTCACTGAAGGGAAAATTCCTTCCTGCTGGCTCTTCAATGTATGTGAAATCTTTTTTTTTAAATTTGTTTTGGCCACATTATTTTTGACTGGATTATTTATTTTTTGTGCTTGGTTTTTTTGTTATCCAATTGTTTGAAAAGTCTATTTGATTTTAACTTGCAGCATTTAAAAAATAAATTTCATTTTTACCTGACAAGTATCCTTCAGAGTATGTTATTCCTCTGGGTCTGAAGTTTTTTTTCTTAAAATCATTGTTTCCATCATTGCTATTACTTCTGTATAACAATGTAAAACATTCTGGACAATATGCAGCAAAAACATGTTCTGATTATATTTGATGGCCTTGCATTTTGTATATTATTCAAGGTTCAATTTTCTTTTGGGTAGACAGAATGGATCAAATTCTTCCCCATTGAAGTCTACAGGAAAATCAAATTCAGATAACATACTTTTTGGTTGTGAAACTCTTGTCTGCAAGAAATTAAGTTTTTTTTTGAAACCAAGAGTCCACTGTATTAGTGGAACAATTCAAGTCCTAAATGACACCTGCAACAAATTATTTGTTCTTTGCCTTGAAAATTGAGTCTGTATATACATATAACATTTGAGGCACCATCTCTGAGGACATCTCTAAACCTTTAATCTGCTGAGCTTCTCCCTGGGATGATGAAGCAAGCAATGGGTGAGTTCATGTGACAGCACACAAGCCAGTCTGTCATCATTGGGGCACATTTCCAAGAGCCCCCTGAAAACAAACACATGTCTTCTGGAAGACACAAATGCTTGAATTTCATCAGAGTCCACCAGAGTCACTCTCCAGTGTTGTGTCTCCAGGGGCTGGGAATGGCTGAACATGTCATAACTGGCCCCAGCCAGTTGCTTCAGGACCTTTGACACCCTGGCATATGCTGGGTGTGAAGGAGGTAGGATCTGGTGAGC